GTGTGTGTGTGTGTGTGTGTGTTAGTGTGTGTGTGTCATTTGGAACTAAATAAGGATGGTGCAGGCTCGACGAATGTCATGTTGCTCCACATAATAGGCACTCTTGCCATTCAGGCTCCCTCTTCGGTTTCGGTCTGTGACAGAAATGTGGCTGAGAGAGATGACACTCTCTCTCCCTCGCTATCACTCTCTGACACACACACTCACACACAGCTACCTAGCCATACACGCATACACTCACAAAGTCAGATGTTAATTTAAAGCTAGAATAGGTGAAGAAGAAAGCAGTTAATTCTCTAAGTAGACTGTTTTCTGGGAAAGGCTTCATACTTTTGATTATTTTGGAGAGCTTAGACTGTTATGGTATAAATTGTTAAATAGTAATGTCATGAGATTTCTACATATATATAGATAGAGTACATATTTGGATTGGGGAACAGGAAGGATACTCAAAGATACGTAAAGACTAGTGGAGCAGGGTTTCAGGGTTTGCCTATAGTGTGTATCTGTAGCACCATGAACATGCGCGTACACACACACATACACACACACACACACACACAAACACACACACACACTCTCTCTCTCTCTCTCACATTCCAGTAGTTCTAATAGTCCCAGAATAGAGCAGTTGCCTGTGGACTTAAGAGGTGGCCTGATCAGTTTTGCTCTGATCAGGTTCATTTAGTACTTTCTATTTTGTAGATAGGATCATAACATCTAACACCTCAACCATGCAGCTCATCACAAAGCGCAGGTGAGTCAAAAGACCTTTTCACCACGGATTTACCTTTGATTTACCTGTTTGTGTTTAATTGGTAGAAATAGCTGTACTTATAAAAATCTGTTAAAAAATGTTGTGGAAATCTATTTCCATGATGATAGATGATTTAACTTGTCTCTCTGGTTTTTAAAATAATATTTTCAGTGTTAATGTCAGTTTTATTTCATCTATTTCTTTCAGCTAGCGATAAATAATTGGAAGTAAAGGAAATAACACTCCTAAAGTACTTCCTGCTCTGTTATTTGCAGCCCAGATTGAAAAAGAGCTCTCTTAATGTTCAACTCTTGTATCTTTTCACACACACATCCAAACAATATGGTCTAACCTCAGACTAACTTATTTCATTGTGTATGTGATCACCTTCTACCGAAATTAAAACATTTTAATAATAACTTTTAATTAAAAGCTCTCTATGTTATGTTATAATGTCAGACAGAAAAATAGAAAGCAGCTGTTTGATGATCTAGCTTTAAGCACGTTTTTGGACATCAAACAAAAGGAGAGTATTTGTGTTTTGTGACAGTTGTGTTTATTACTCGTTTCATGCTTCAGTTCTTAATAAGAGTTCAAATACGCTGCATCTACAGTGCTACAGGCTGCCTATATGATCACATATATGCCTGTATAAAAGCTGACTCATTCATGTTTGTTAAAAGGAAAAGAGATTTAGAAGAATGAAAATGCGAGACAGCAAAGAGATTAGGCTTTTGATTACATATGGTTCTCAATTCCGCTCCCTGCCACTGCCAATAACAAAGAGGAGATACAATAGTACGAGAGGGGAACATGGAGAGGAGGGTGGTGGAGGTTTGAGTGTAATGGAGTCAAGACCCCTAACAGGCTGTCAGATGCTGCTCACTTGCTGCACAGTCACTATTTACACGCACGCACGCACGCATGCACACACACACACACACACACACACACACACACACACACACACACACACACACTGAATCAAACACACCAAGTCTTTTGCAAAACATTGGACTATGTGTGTGCCCCCCGGTTATAAATCTTAATTACACAATGGAGTGCAGGCCATGTGCCATCTCATCATACCATGTCAAATCTCATAAGCAACACTAGTGAGCGTGAGAGGAAGAGTGGGAGAAAGAGATGAAAGAGAGAGTGAGAAAATGTGAATATAATGTGTGAACAAAAAGATGGAAGGTCAAGACTGAAAGAGGGTAGAGCAAGAGATGGGGTTACAAAGCGAAAAGAAATCTTTGCATTGGCTGCTGTAGGGCAGAACGACTTTTTTTATTTTACCTTCAGCCTTGTCAATACTAATCAACTCCGAAAACCATTGCTGCTGCTGCCACTGAATGGAACTAGTTTCCGCAAGGATGAGCCGGCGGATGAATACACCGTTTTAGCATGTCATAGAAAGAATGGGGCTGGCGGCGTTGTTGTGGCCTGCTGAGTCATCGTGGCCAGGGTGATCTCTAAAAGCAGCCCCCCAGCCCCCCAGAGTAATGGTTAATCGTGGAAAGTCTGGTGTTAGGGTAAGTGTGCCCGTGTGCAGGCTCAGCCTGTTTCTGGCCAGATGGGGTGCATGGGTTTTGGCGTGCTGTGGTGTGACAGGGCCAGTCAGGCGGATGGGGCGTGTTGTTGTAGCTGTGGCGGAGGGGAAAGCCCTGTACAAGCAGCTTTCAGCTCTGCTGGCTGGGAGAAGAGCCGGGGCAGCTCTCCCAGAATGAAAAGCAGTAAAAAAAACGCACTGTTCTTTTGTTTGCACTGCTGTTGTGTTCCTGTTGCTCCGGGTTTGGGAGTCTGGCCTGTGTGTCTTCCTGGTTGTATGTGAACGTCCCGCTGTGACATTCGGCTTTATTCTGGACCTCTGGTGTTGCGAACTGTCGCCACGAAACCTCTCACAGACAAACTCCACTTCCTAGAATGGCGGCGTCAACACAGGAAGTGCAACCTTTGAACCACAAAGAGCTGAGTCCAAAGTTGTTCATTTAAATGGTCGAGGATAATTTTCTAATAATCAGAGAAACTGAAAATTTAAATGCAACACATAACTGATTTTCACTGTATTAATTATTTTTACAGTTAATCATTACAGAAAGGAAAAGACACTGAAAGATATTTATTACATACTGTTTGTTTGGCTCTTAGGTCTGATTTATAACCATGACAGCAGATGAAACAAGTCGGACCTTGTCAGATGGCAGCAGAGGGAAGCTTGATACAGCTGGATTCAGGGCGTTAGGCATTAGGTTAGATGAGCAGGACAAATAAAACAAACCTGGAAAAATCATGGCTGTCTAAAAACAGTTAGATCTAACAGTCAGCTGTGATGTTTTTCAAGTGAAAGTATAGCTGTTATTTTATTTTTATCCTATTTGACTGCTGATCACGCTATGAGTCAACTAGGCAAAGTGTTTACTCAGTCTGTTCGCAGGATTTTGGTTGCCTATAAACGTAAATCTAGATTTCAAAGTAGTAGCTGCAGTTGTTATTGTATATCTCATCCTCTGAACGAGGCAGTAAGTGAAATTTAAAAGGTACTTTGCAGCCCTGTACTTCCATTTCTTTAAAGTATTAACCTATTCCTTTTTTTGGCCCTGTAATATACTCTGACTCTCACTTCCTCAGTGAAGGAGAAAATTGAGAAATAAAAATAAAATGTATCTTAAACTGTAAGCTTCTCTGCCTTCTGGCATAATCACTTATACTACCAACACTATTAAGGTCCTACACTATTTTAAAAGTATAATACAATTTACTCTATATAGTCATATATATGAGATGTGTATAAAGTAAAGATAATCTCTCTGAGATAGAAAACAGATGTACAAACAGGCAGGCTCACTTAAAAAAACATTGTGTTCTGTTAGTGTTATGGAAGTAAAGCAAATGTCAGTAAATGCCAAAGAAAATATAGTTGTAGTATTTCACATTGTGACATTACATGGTACCTATCAGCCAGCTTACTTCTTATCTATTGTTAAAATGCAACATTATTACTTACAGGTCAGTGTAAATTCTCTGAGAGACGCCCCAGTGCTGGCACAACACCATGGTCACTGATAAAGCCCACAGAGTCTGAGAGGGTTCTGCTGCAAACAGTAAATCACCTTGTGTGCTGTTGGATCCTCCTTTAAATATTATGGATTTGTGAATATATGAATGTGTGGAGACGTCTAAACATGTGCTGCGTGCGTATCTCAGGCTTGTTCAGTGGCTCAGCAGTGTCTTCCTGGTTGTATCTGTAGCAGGATAATTGGCTCCAGTCAGTCGCTCTGTCACTCAGACCTGCAGCTGATGCGACTGCAGAGCAATCAAGGTCTCGCACTTGCACCCTACCTCCATTATGTTGAGGAAGTCTTTTCATACTATATACCATATGAGAACAAAATGCACATATAGCAATACACACACACACACACACTCACTCAGCTGGCTGCACATATGAGTATCTAAGGAGTGGAACACGGACATAATTTAATGCCTCAGTGCATTTAACATCCGCTTTCTCTTTCCCAGCTCTTCATCTCCCCCAGTTTGGGCTGGAGTCACTGAGTAACAAAGCATTTCTGTCAGAGTGTCTTCAGTGTTTGAATTATGTGTGAGGGACTCTGCATCTGGTGTGTGTCTGTGTGTGTATGTCATTTCCAAAGTGCTGTGATTTTTGAGGGGGGTGTTAAATTGCTGACTTTTCCTTTTTGCTGAGTTTTTCTTACATCTCTAAGCTGTTTGCAGTCCTCCAAATCTGGACTGTTGCTTGGAGATAGATAAGTGTCTCGGACTGCCTTTTTTTACACAACACATCGCTGCTAAACACAACTCTTCTTATTTCCTGAAGGACAAGAAAACATTTCCTTTCACAGGTGAAGCCCACAGTGAAGCACTGCTCAGGTTAGAGCTCCATTATCTGACAAAGACTGACTGCCTTCTTCTGTCTTCATTTCTGCAGGCACAGAAATCGTGGATAGAAAGAGCATTCAGCAAGAGAGAATGTGTTCATATCATAGTGAGCGCCAAAGACCCCCATAGGTGAGTAAGAATGTGTGTAAATGAAAAGAGTGCGCAACTGAGTTTTTACTGTTTAAGCATTACCTCAAATGTTTACTACTACACACTCTTATTTAATGTACTTTCTTATCTAATGTATTTTTGCCAATGGTAGAGGAACTACTGTTTTTACATGTGTAAGTGCTCTGATTTCTAGGCAAAAAATAATTTGTGACAATAAGGATTTCCATTTCTATCAAATTATTTTGCATAAATATGTAAATCACAATGTAAATTACACTAGAGTTTTTTGTAGTAAAGAAGTCTATATATTTAGGATTTATTAAGTTAGCTGGTGTGATAGTCCACCACACATACACCAGATAAAGAACACTGTTTAACTACAAACCTTTTAGTACAGGCCTCAGAGAAAACACCATCACAATGGCTTCTGTTTGCATCACAGGTAGATGCTTCAAAAGGTTGGTGATAGGCAGGTCGGGGTCCTAATCTGTACCCAGATGGCGTCCTATCCAGATCTGAACTTGTAAATGACAGATCACTTAGAATTGTCAAATTTTGACAGAGCGTTTCCATCATACTCTGAGCTTCCCAGCCTCAATAACAGAGGTGTAGTGGCAAAGGACACTCACAGGCCAACCTCATGCCTTGATAAATAATCTCACATGATGCCAATCAAATCAGGGAATTCCAATGAGCATTCTGACAATCAGTGAGAGAGAGAAGTAAGAAAAGTGCCCTCACATGGTGTGCTCTTAAAGCTGTTCACACAAGACAGTAAATATTGTAAAACTATTATTGCATTATACTTTCTTTGATTTGACAGTTGTTGACAACACATAAGCATTGATACATCTAATGTTTCAAATATTGCACTAAATCATAATGCTAGTTAGACATTATGATGTTCTAGACCTTTGCCTGAGGAAATGTTCTCTCTCTGGACCTCTCTGAATTTCAGTCGACTACCCCAGCTCTACACGAATGAGTCAGAACACTTACATTACACATTTAAAACCCTGTGAATGCTTATTGACATTTGTGAAATACAGGGTCAAACCAGTTCTAAGTCAGTAAAATATTCCACATCATTTTAAAGGATTATTAATCTTAGCAGCTCTCAAGATAGAGCCCTCAGGAGTTTTCTAATCTACTCAGAGATATACATTTTTGCAATTATCTTCCTGATACTTCCGGACACATCTTAAGTGATGTTTCAGGATTAATCTGGTGCTTCGGGTCATTACGCTAAAACATGATTTTAGTGCATTTCAAGAATATAAAAAACCTTAACTCAATTTTTATGTTCTTCAAAGTGACTGCCATGGTGTCTTTATCCAAATATTTCCTACAGCTGACTGACTCACAAAGTCAAATCTGATTCCTCAAGTGCTGACACACGTCACCACACGCACACACACACACACACACACAGGCAATGCCGCTCTTTGTTAGGTAAGCAGAATTAGCATAACCAGAGGAAAGCGTTGAAAGCCATGAGCTGTAGGAGGGGAAAGAGATGTTCCTCAAGATCAAATCAGCTTTTCGTTTTTTAGTCAAAAAACATTCGTGCTGACACGTAAAGGCAGAGGGAGGCAAAGTACCTTTGGTGAGAGATGACGGAAACATGAAGTGATAATCAAAGCATCCCGACTCCCTCTCCTCCCAGGGCTCCCACTCCATCCTGTAAGGTGATAATACAGAATCTGAAAGCTGCATTCAGCACATCTGAATAAGTATGTTCTTGTGCAGGAATAATACAATTGATTCTGTACAATTCAACTGTCACAATGCTAACCTTTGAGTTGCCAAGCGGGAAAAGGAGAGGAGAAGACAGGAGGGAGTTGGAGGTTTGGAGGTTTGTGAGGAGCAGAAAACAAAAAGAGACAGAGCCAATACAAGATTACAGGGCCCCACAGATGCTTCTCCTCCTCCTCTCCTCCCAATCAAGAGATGAAAGTCAAATGACAAGCTGTCATTTAAGCCTTGCCCACCTCTCACTGACTACAGCAGCTCTCACACTTTTCTCTCATCCCCCTGTTAGACACAATGTCTTTCTCACCCTCCCCTCTTTTTTCTGCCCAATTCTACAATAGCTTTGCTCGAGGCTTAGACCTGTCTGGGTTCCAGTTGTAATCTGTGAGGAATTTTTAATATACCCATCCACTTTGACTTTCTGCTCTCATCCAGGTGCTGTTGTGGTCGTCTGATAGGTCAGCATGTGGGCCTGCCCCCTGGCATCTCATCCAGTCAGAATGATAAGGCAGAGCGTTTGGCCAAGAATGACAGCCTGTCAGAGAAGTGGTCCATCAGCAAGCACACACAGCTCAGTCCCACCGATGCCTTCGGCACCATCGAGTTCCAGGGAGGAGGACACTCCAACAAAGCCATGGTGAATCCCATAACAAATCCACTGTGTCACATTTTGTCAGTGTCTTGCAAAAACCTTGGTTCTCACGTTAAACATTTCATACATATTTCAAATTGTAAAAGGAATGTAAAGAGGACTCATTATCACCCCTCTTCATCAAGGTGAACCTGGTGTCAGTGTAGTGCAATAGACAGTAAACAGATTTATGATCTTATTGAGTCTGTGCAAAACACACGTTGTGTGTAGTTTGGTTGCGGTATAGGGTATTTGTGTGTGTTTGTATGTATTTGACCTATTTAACAGTCTGATGGCTGTTGGATAGAAGCTTTTCCTTAGTCTGGACCTCCTGCATTTCACTATGTAAGTCTTTGATTTCCCAGTTACACTAGCGCCGACTTCAAGCACAACATCAACAGACTACAGTGTCTCTTTTCAGTTTTATTTAAAAAAAATCAATCTTCTTGGCAGACTACACATGGCACAAGCTTGTTTTTTTTTAATGCTGGTCACAATATTTTGGTTGGTCTGAAGCGGTTATTTCTGCTAGACAAGAGTAGTGTTGATGTCCCAAGAGCCAATTCCTTGGCTGTCGAAACAAAGAATTGGTTCGAAATTAGGTTCTGGCTCCGAACCGGTCCTTGAAGTGCCTTGGTATAAAAGGGGTATTAGTCCTCAATCTGGCTCATATTTAGATTAAACTCAGAACAAATTAAACATCATCTCACATATGAAGAAATTCATCATATCTGTTAGCATAAAGAGTACAGCATTCTAATAATTATGATTACTTATAATTATCAATTCAAACGAGTGCGGTAGTTACATTTGTACCTGTAATTGATCCATTCCAAAAGTAGAGTGTTGTTTACACAGTCACTGTCTCTAGAAATCACATTTACACAACCACATCACATATACTACAACACACATGATTAAGGCTAAATAAGGTCTGATTTATTCCCAGTGTTAAATTATTCATCCAGACACATGTGAGGTTGAGTGTCTGAAAATGTATGAGATGATAAACAGATGCTCCATAACACATGTGGTTCTGCAGTTATACTACACATCTGTTCGATACTTTGTATAAAATGAAAGCCATACGCTCAGCATCAGGTTTTAATACAGCTCTGTCAGATTTCCTTAACTTTACCTTTACATCGTAGATTTCCATCACATGTAATGCTCCTGTAACACAGTAACATGTACAGTTTGGACTTACTGTCTGTATTTACACGTTTGTGTGTTTCTATCTCAGGCACATGCAGACAGAAGTCACCATGTGCCTGAGGGTGAAGCAGATGTGCCGCTGTACATCACTGACACCTCTTTACCGTTTGCAGTACGTTCGAGTGTCTTATGACACCAAGCCTGACTTGCTGCTCCACCTGATGACCAAGGAATGGCAGCTGGACCTGCCCAAACTGCTAATCTCAGTCCACGGGGGCCTGCAGAACTTTGAATTACAACCCAAACTCAAACAGGTCTTTGGCAAAGGGCTCATCAAGGCTGCCATGACAACAGGAGCCTGGATATTCACTGGTGGGGTCAACACAGGTAAAGTTCTGTACAAATTGGCCAATTCATGTTGAAGACAAAAAAATGATGAGTATATTTGAATGTTCCTCAAAGATTATTAGCTATTAAATAACCATTTATTCAGCCCCTCAGGGTGTAAATATGTTTCAAAAACCACTGGAATACCACAAAAGGGTTATTTAAATATATAATGAGCACTTAACTCTACTTACTCTTCATAGTCAGCACAGGGGAAGTAGTAGCTCTATTATTATAAACAGTGAGAGATAATAGTGTCAGTCTATAACTGCTTTTTGATTTTCATGGAACAAAGTAGGGTAGGGTTATAAAATATAAAAAATATTGCAATAGAATTTTCATCAATCGCAATATAATACATGCATCAATATTATACTTATGTGCAAGCACAGTGAAATGATACTATATCGACTGATCTTCATATAATTTTGGCCACATTGCCCAACCCTACATCACAGTGTGTCACATTTAAATTAACACATTGAAAAGTGATATTTTTATCAGGAAAAATATGACCTAAAGTCATCAGAGTTATTGTTGTTTTATTAGTGGTATGATAGAAATGACTGAGGAGGAAATTTGTGTCCATGATTATCTGAAACCTTTTCAGGCAAAATGGGCTTTTCCCCCATACAGAGTCGAGAAGAGTCAGCCCAGTGGAGACTTGTGACTGGTAGCAGGATGAAAGTGGCCTGTAGCAGGATTTATGAGGACCTCAGTCCACTGGATCTTAATCACAGCAGGTGCAGGGTTTTCTTAAAAGCACCTCTCAAAGTCAGAGAGCAACGAGATAACAAGAAATGAAAATAGCGTAAACAGAAACATAAACATCAGCCGACAGATTGACAACACATGAATTATGCATAAGTATGGAGTTATCATGCATATGGAAAACTGTCTGTGACTGTACCTGAGCTCTACTATGTTTATGTAACGTAAAGCTATAGATATTGGTTTTAGGTTGAGAGGTTAGTAAATGCTTGGTTGTTCCCATCTTCCAGTTTATTGTAACAGTAGTATCCTGAGTCAGTTATCAAACAGTATCAGAGGTGTTGAGAGTGGATAATCAATGCTGTTTCACTTTGTCCTCAGTATCGCACTTCACTGTTTGTATTCTTGCATTGTGTCCAGGTCACAAAAAGAGAAGTAACTTTGATTAAACCTATCAATACTAAAAAAGATCAAAACAATAATGTTTACCAGGACCTGATAAAAAGAAATGTGTTATTGGATGCTGTGAGTGGACAACACTTGGATACAGAAAGGAGTAGAATGTTAGAATTACTGACAGAATGGGTGCAAAGGCAAGAAAGAGGAAGATAGAAGCATGAATAATGGATCGATAGATTGAAGGAACAATGAAGCGTTGAAGTGGAGAAGGAATGAATGCCAGCACTAGAGATGGAATAAGATGGTCTCCAGGTCTGACTGCTGCTCCCCTGAGGACAACAACTACAAGCTAGGAGTTACGACCTGTCCGTGTGTTTGTGTGCTTGTGTCTTCTGCTCCGCACAAATTCTGTTTATCTTTCGCAGCAGAGTGTATCATTATCTGAGTTTAGACTTTGTATTGATTTCGGTGAAACTGATGTGTTATCTATTTCTCTGTCCTTCTCTCAAACACACTCTCAAATGTTTTTACACACACTCATGTAAACACACAGGTGTGATTCGCCATGTAGGTGATGCACTGAAAGACCACGCCTCCAAGTCAAGGGGGAAGATCTGCACCATTGGCATCGCCCCGTGGGGCATCGTGGAAAATCAAGAGGATCTTGTTGGCAAAGATGTAAGTCTCTCAAAAAAACAATAATGTCACGATGAAAACAGCTACAGAGTGGGCACATGTACCACTTGTTTGCATGTTGTTTGTATGTGGCAAATATCAAGTGCACTCCACAGTTGTCAGAGGCAGTAAATTGCGGCTGACAGCTTATTAACTGCGGTGCTGAGTAAGCCAATCCTATCTGTGATAAACACCCCTTCAAAGTGAGTCGGACAGCTGGCGGATCCACATGAGACTGCGGAGCATATGCTGACTCATTCAAGTTCTCGGGAATCAATGTTATGTTATACTTAAAATTTCATCAGAATGAGCTGCATACTGTCCTGCTCCACAAGTCAAGCAGAGCCAATAATGTTGGTGCCTGAAATGAGATGATTAAGTGCTGACGCTCCTTTTTTACGCTTGAACGGTCTCAACTGCATAATGACCTGATGAGTTTACCTTTGATTGTCAGACACTGTCCCAGTGGACCAGCTCCAAGCTCCGAGAAACTTAATGTTGCACGAATATTCACCCAGTTCAGAGGACAAATCTATAAGCAGCACAATTAATGTGTTGTTTAAAATGATGGATTGTGAATGGATCCCAGTGTTTCTTTGATTCATTCTCTAACTTGAACCTGCAGTAAAACTAAGGAAAATGTACTTTGTTGCAGCAGCAAAGAAGAAATAGTGAAATATTAACGGTCCTCTGCGCTGATCGACAATGGATCTATGTTTCTGTCTAGTGGTGTGGGGGAGGAGTTTAAGCAGACAGGAGGAGTATCTACTGTTACCAGTCTGAGCAAATTTTGAGTAGTGCTTTATGCTAGGAATGAAATTGTCATTTAAATCTACTAAGGAAGAACTGCTCATGGCTTTAGATAATAAGCGAAGAAGAGTTGACAGCTGTGATGGCAGTTAACCATAAAATGTAGCCTACTTTAAAACTGCAAAGTTATTAATAATACATCTGTCCCTGTTCAGCGTAAAACAGTTTAAAATATATTTCATCCAAAGAATTGTTAAATCATCTTATGTAGTACCATAACCTCCTGTAGTGACTATAGGAAACATCTGCGTTTGCCATTGTACAGCAGCAGACTGCAGCAAGTATTTAAGTTAACACATATAGAAGAAGAACAGAGAACTATTTCAAGTTGCCGTAGCAGAGCTTAAAACTGTCTCTGTATAAACGTTAGCTCCTGAGGTGGATACCTAATGTGACTGTTCTCTGGCCTGGTTATTAATCTATACAGTTTTCTTTGCACAAACTGCCCGCCATTGGCTTCTCTGATGTTTTTACCTGATAAATAAACGTTATCTTCTCTCGACCAGGTGGTGCGTCCATACCAAACCATGTCCAACCCGATGAGCAAGTTGACGGTTCTAAACAGTCTCCACTCCCACTTCATCCTGGCAGACAATGGCACCACGGGAAAGTACGGCGCTGAGGTCAAACTCCGACGCCAGCTAGAGAAACACATCTCTCTGCAGAAGATCAACACACGTAAGTGAAAATTAACTGTATCTTGTCTGTCACGGCTATTGTCAGACTGACCTACATACCCTGAATTAGAGAAGATATTTTAGAGGAACACAGCTAATGAAAGCTGCATAATGAAATATCCCTTTTTTTTATCAATGCCACCACTGAGGGTTAATTGGGTTCAAAGTCTGCAACCAGACTAAAATGATCATTACTTGCCTGATAGTATAAACATACTGTCAGAGTATATTTTTAGGCAGCTGTGATACCTATCGATAATCCTTTGAAACTGTCCCTCCCTCCAGGACGGCTTTATATTTTCTTTCAAAGTTTCCTGAGAGCTCAGATGAACTCTTTCCTCAAATGAACCTGCAGATTTTTGTTTTGTTCTGGAGCAGGGCACATAGCTACAACACCAGCTAACAGATAGTGACAGGCACAAACACATGTGCACACACACATGCACCACTCCGCAGACACACCAAGTACATTCAGTTGAACACACATAAAGGAGAGAAAGTTTTTGAGTATCTTTCCAGTGTTCTTATGTAAACCTCAAAATCATGTTTTTCCTGTGCAGCTCTGTTTTCACTTTATAATTTGCTTGAGCAGAAGTACATTATCCTCATCAAAAGGCAGCAAGAGTGTATGTAAATGCACGCGTGTGTGTTTAAAGATGTAGGTGTGTATTTAGTGTGCATATATTATTGTGTATTTTAGTCTGCACATGCACATATTTGTCTTCATCCACTGCCGAGTCCTTGTCACGTTGCATTTATCCATTTCCAATTTCCACATTACTCTCTTGCTAGAAACCAAATAGATTTGCATGAATAGAAAACACATTTCTCCTCCTTTTTTTCCTCCCTCACACACAAGCGCACACAAACCGCTCACATTCCCTCTAATTCTCAGGAGCCTCCCGCAGCATTGTTTAGAACGTGTCAGAGGACAAACCTGAGTCAGAGAAATGTTTTTTGCAGCCGTGATTTATTGTTATTACCGACTTTCGTTCACAACACAAGGCAATTGTAAAATAATTTCCTCAGCCTTTGGTTGACATGAATGCAGACATTTTAACATCAATACTTTATTTTATTACTGTCAGAGTGTCGGGAAATAGGTGTTAGAGTGTCAAAAGCAATATCGTCCCTCAGACCTTTCCTTTGTCAGTAACATTGCTGTTGACTGTCACTGGTGTTCGCTGATAGGGACTATACATTAAATGTTAAAAGTCGCTCTTGGGATGAAACATAGTTTATCTGTTCTTGGGGTTGACAGGGTACACTAATGTTCTTCTTCCCTGTGTATCACTCTGTCATGTGACCTATGGACTTCCCTTTGTCATCCTATGCCTGGAGTCATACAAAAGGGGCTGGGAAGGCAAAGGGACGCCCAGTCGTCACACAAGCATCCGATGTAAATTTACTGGGAGGTCAAGTGCTCAATCAGTCAAGATGGATTGATGGCACGTTTTTAAAATGATTCTTACACCTCTGCTTATCGTGAAGTGACTTGAGAAGTGAGTGAATATCCACATTTACAGAAATTGTTTTTTTTTGTAACAAATTGTTTCCCAGGTTAGATATTTCCGAATGTTGTAGATTGACATAACCTCAACATCACAATAAAGCTAATTCAAGATCACCTGGTTAATATCCATCCATTGTCCGAGGCATGTTTGAAAAGAAATCAAGTTTTAAATATTTATAGCTGTGTGATATGAGGCCCATGAATAATTTGCTTCTTAACATGAGAAAAAAAAAACTGGAACAGCTCTAATCCTGAAGCTGATTTACAGAGCGACAGCTTCACCTCTAAAAGAATCTAACACATTACTGGCAAACTGGCCTCCATCTATTCTCTTTTAGTGTACATTTATATTTCACACTTCCCAGTGTTTATCTATTATTCTATGTTTTTGCATCCATATGATGTGTCCTCCCCTTCCTGTTTCACTGCTGCAGGGCTGGCAGACAAGGACCATTTCTTGATTTAATTACCTGTCCACAGTGAATCGAGGAGTGCATTAATTTTCCTCACAGCGTGGCTCCCATGGGATCGAAGTGTAGCCTTAGGTCCTGTCCAGGAGAGCAGGATAAAGGAAAGTAAAGAGGGAAGAGAGCGGTTAAGTTTGAATGTCCTAACATGTGGATTTTAGACCACACGTATCCACAAGGTTTTTTCTTCTCCACTTCTTTACTTTTAAACACAGTCACACTGCACACTGCACACAAACCAAACATGAAAGAAGTGTGGTGAATAGATATGCGTAATCTCCCCCTGTGGTATTTTTGTCATGTCTGGGCAATCCTGTAGCTAATCCTAGTGTGGCTGTGTGCAATTTTCCAGCGACAGTCCTGTCATCATGACGGCAAGAAATTCTGGAGCAATCAAATTGGCTCCACAATATTATAATGCAAATTTTAAATATGGGATTCAATTCCATTCCAGGTGTTTTGGTTCGACTGCACAAAAAAACCTTCATTTTTCTGAAATCTTTTTTTACATTTGTGGTTATTTTGCACTGTGCACATTTCCATTGCAAGGCATGGCAGCACCATTGGCACCTGTCAGAACCCATCACTGGAGCACAGTTGTGCTTTAACTAAAACTCTTCCCACCACCCCTGGGTGATACTTGTGAGTTCTCTCTGTGGACTTTGTCCTGCAGTCTCCACTGTATATTTGATGTTGTGGAAGGTTGTGTTCCTGTGGTTTCGTACACTCTTCAGAGGAGAGTGGATGAGAATATCCAAGGGACAGCTCTGGCCGGGTGTAAACAAAATAAATGCCTCAAGACAGTAAACTTGGGTTGTGCAGCTGTAAACATGTCACATGGAGCCAAGACATTCACACGCAAGAGTAAATGCTGTGCGCTGTGTCCTACTGTACGTGCGTGGGCTTCCGGTGACTGGTTCAGCCAGACATGGTCGAGCTTGATAGAACTTGTAGCGAGATGTAGATGCAAATGAGTCTGGATTATCGTGATGAGGATTTAACATGCAAACAGAGGGACGGAGTCTACAGTGATCATAAACATTCATTGCATGATGATGTACAAATGTAATTGTAAATTTAAAAAACGTGTATATTGCTTTTCCTGACACTCATTTATCGTATTTAAGGTCAGACGCACACTCTGGGACATTTCTTCCACTTGAGCTCCTCCTCCCAACATCTCCTGCCGCTGAAGAATCAATAAAACTAAATGGCACCATTTAGCACAGCTCACTCCATGACGCAGCTCTTTTGACATGTTTGCAGCAGGGGCTATAATGCTTTTTAATTACACATCTGCCCCAGAGAGAGGAGGGGTACAAGAGAAAGAGGAGGGAGGAAACAAAAACACAGCCAAGGGATAGACAAGAATTATATGTGAAGCAGCTGTGAAGCATTGATATGACCTTGAGGTGTCTTCACTGAGAGAGCGGGATAAAAAAGTGAAAAGGCAGCGAGAGAGGACATAATAGGCTTCATCCATGAATGTTTTCTTATTTTCTCTTGGAAAATTGGACAAGAAAACCCCAAATCTTATTCGCTTTTGTTTTTGCACTTGACAATTTAAAATGACATCACACTCCAGGCCCAGAGAGGAATTAAAGTTATTCATTTGTGTAATTTAGATTAAGTCTGTGACAATGCATGAGGCACCTTGAGTGTGATCTCTTTCATTTCACCTAAGTTTCTTGGAATATTGAATTGGACCCGTTAGTACTTTGTATATTGAATTCGGCATAGGTGTAGGTATGGGTGTATGTTAACTCTGTCGACTGTGCAACCTTCACTGACCCTCTTATAGCAGTGGTTTCATTAATCACAGCATACGTAAAAGATGAAGTAGCCGGGGTAATTGAATCTAGAAGCCATAAGACCTTGCGTTGCAGATTAGCCATGACACTGTGACCTCCACTGTGGAGCAGCCCATACAGAGGAGATTATCCTGAAGCTGTTGTACATGGCAAGACAGAAGGGCTGTAATACTCTTTTGAGCACTATGAAGTCTGGAAAAACTTTAGATTTTTTTGATGAATCTTATAATATTGTGCTTTTTTCTTGTGTGACCAGCTACAGTGTCACATTTTCAACCTGGCTTTGAGATCTCACCCTTAGCTGGATGTGGTTGTGTCAAGTAAAATACAAATAGATGGACAATGTAGAAAAGTTGATATTCAAAAGAGATTAAAAGAAACTCTTGGTAATCCAGGGAAAAAATAGCAAAAGTAATCTACTCGAAAAATATTAAACCGGATATACATTCCGGCCCCTGCCATCGGCCCTCTCTTCAGAGCTACGCCCCCAAAACACATTAGCGTGCACTGAAGGACAACTGCCAGAAGTTGACTTTTCCATGACTGCTCGCTAACCTCTGGCAATCGTTTCTTCTTCAGCGGTGTACGCCTCTCTGCCTGAAGACTGTGGTCATGTGGAGCGAGAGCATGGGCAGGGTGCAGACAGTCAGGTCAGTTAGTGACAGACAGATACACCAGCAAATCATTTCATTTGTATTTTTTAAAAGACTCAATTTATTGATGCCTATTTGAACATGAAGAGAATTTCCAAAAATCTAATTAAAGTTAATTCAGGTCTCTAGATGATGACAATACTATGAGTAACATGGATTCATATACATTCTTCATGACTCTGGTCAGTGGTTTTTAATTCCTGTGGTGGTGCTACATTGATGTCTGAGTTTGATCTGACACTGTCATTGTGGATCAGTAGATATTATTTCATCGTATGTAGCAGGCACATGAGAATAAGTGCACAGAGAGAGTGTGGGGACACTTGAAGACATTGGGCGAAGGTGTGGTCATGCACGAATGAATACGGAGAACATGTCAAAATGATGAACATGAACCACCAGAGTGTTCAACCCTGTAGGGGAGAGATAACAAAGAGCGAGTGAGTAGTGGATTGGATGCAGGACTTGCTGTATGTATGGGTCCAGGTTGATGATGTGCATGGATGACATGTTATGTGGTGTGGAAAGAATTTGAGTGCATGGTCATTAGTGTGAACTGTGGTAAATGTGTTTTGGGGAAAAAAGAAAGAGTAGTAAGAAGGTCAGCAATGTTCAGGCAGCTGGCTGTGCACACTGCAAAGCAATCAAGGAAGTCAGATGGCAAGTTATTTTTTTTTTAGTAGAACCCTACAGGCATGAACTCCAGAAAATGTGTGCACAAGGGATCTGGATTTTGCCTTTCCCATATAAAGAAGGCATTAGGAGCATTCAGATGAGGGGTGGTGCAACATGCAGGAGCCAGCATCTTTTATGTGCGTTGCATTTTATCCTGAGATATTTCCTTTCTTTTTGTTTTTTCAATTTTGCCTTTATTGCACCCAATTAATGTCATCGATGCGCTGACTTGCTCATGGTGAATCCTGCGGTGAACCTCTTGCTGTATTCTCACAAGGTCTCACTCAGACATTATCCAGAGTTTTTACTGACTTGAACATCTGCATTCTCACATACAGCCCCTCCTGATAATTCCAGGATACTATTGGGAGTTCAGTGCATGTCAGAAAGCAGCTTCACTTATATATTTATGATTTCCCCTGACTGTTTCTTCATTGAAGTGTCACAAACCCTTTAAGCTTTTATCTGTGAAGGCGACTGGGTGTCAATCCATTGCAAATGCTTTCTGAATGCAATTCTTCTTTGCTTTCTTGATGTCCAGCAGCTTTCTCTGATCTGTCAAGATGCATGAAGTTACAATATGGTGTGAATATGGTCCAATATTCCAGATCACTGAAAAACCACTGAACTCTCAGACTCACAAATCATCACACAAATCACAGGGGTCATATTTCTTGAACCCCAATTTCCCTGTTGTAAATATATTTTATTGGTCAATGACACCTTTCATGAGTAATTCTCTCCGGCTCACTCGGCCATGGTGGCCCCACAACTCGTGTTACTGGTAAAAAGGTGGCACATCAGACCTGAGTCAGTCAGAATTCTTGCGACCATGTTAGAAATAACCGAATATCTTGATGTCACAACAGGCCGGAAAAAAAAAACATTTTGGAAAAGCTCTGCCTCAAACCCCCTGACCTTTAGTTCTGTAGCCTGTCGAGTCGTGTTGCCTTCACAGATGTGATGTTTCCCGTCTGCTTTAGTTGCTGAACGGATAATGTTGTGTGCATGTGTGCGTGTTTACATTTGGTGTGAGGGGATGCGAAGACAACGACCCGCATAATGTAATGTAGCACGCCTTCTCCAGTATACTGATCCTAATTTGAGTCATACAAGGAAAAACTTGGCACCACAGACGCACAAAAAGAAGATGAGTCATTGCTGAATCCATAATTAGCATCATTTAAGCATGTTATGTGTGTCTCACTTACGCGCTCCGCTTTCCCTCCCAAATTCCTTCTGTTCCTTCTTACTTCCTCTTCTCCCAGACAAGGATAAATATAGAAAGTTGGCCGTGGATCCTCATCAACTATCAGGGTAGTTTCCCTCCTGAGAGATAAGGTGTGGGCACTGGGTTAAAAACTATGGATGGGATACAGAGGGATGGTTGTGTAATCTGATGTGTTGGAATGTGTGACTGGTGCGTGGATGCAGCCAGTGTTGGAGGAGGAGGTAACCGGGTTTAGAGGAGATTAGACAGTGCATCTACAAATATCTTCATTATTGCATTTAATTCACATGTAACATGGGGAAACATGGAAACAGACTGTATTTATATAGGGGTTTTCTCAACCACTCCAAGTACTTTACAATACATGTAACAATCCCCCATTCAAACACACATATTCTTGCAGCACTTTTTCTATCACACAGCTCACAAGACAGCCTTTCACCTACACTTGCATCCCTGCGTTGGGTTCAGCTTGAGTTCAGGATTGAGTTACGGTCCTTTTGTTCGTTTTTAAAGCACTAAATGGCCTGGCCCCTAATTAAATCTTGTAGCTTTTCTGCCCCCTTTTCCACTCTCCGATCTCTCAGCTCGTGGCTGTTACCCGGCCGAGGCTGAAGGGTAAGGGTGAGGCTGAGGATGAGGATGAGGGTGATCGTGTGTTCGCTGTCACAGCCCTGAAGTGCTTCTCTTCTGTCAACACATTTAAGACAAAACTGAAGACCCTCACGTTCTTAGAGGCTTTTGAGTCATTAAGTTGTTTTTATTTACATCATAGCATTTATTTATGTTTTATTTTACTCCTTCCTGAATTGAGCATTTTGTCTTCTTTTATTGCACAGCACATTGGTCAACTGCGTTTGCTTTATGAACTTGACTTTCTATCGTTCATACACTGTTGGTACAGCCATCAGGGACAATTTGGTCTTGCTCAAGGACACCTCAGTATGCTGACTGGGGGAGCTGAGGATCAAACCACAGACCCTCTGGCTGGTGGATGACCCGCTCTAGATCCTGAGCCACAGCCACGAAACAGTAGGAAGGAGACACAGACATATATCCACCTTCTAACAGTGCTGCACTTTGCACTTTGTAAACTCCAGTAAGAAGATTGCATTCCACTAAATTCAGAATAGCAGATTAGCTTTCCAGCCATGGGTGTAGAACAATAGTTGTAGAACATGTTGAACAATAAATGTGCCTCTGAATGTGCTGACTCATGTTACCACACTGCACAAACTGTATTAAAATAGAGTTTTATTTAATAATAAAGGGAGAGTTCAGAACTCTAAATCCACCCACGTGGATGGAATAATTCAAAGGATTTAGTTCTCTAACAACAACAGGATTATATTTAAAGAACTGTAAAATTGCAAGTTCAGTGGAAGCAGCAGTTGGCCGAGCATCAATACTGGTTAGTATAAGGTCTCAGTTTCCACACAGGCCTCCAGGAGCAGGATTTTTCGGGACCAGTTAAAATTCAGGTCACATAATGGCCATCAAGACTTTTCTATGCAAACTGTACATTTAAATCTGTGAAACTAAACTGAAAATAGATTTGTGGGCACCACAAAGAGAAAAATTATGTAATAATATTAAATGCTCATATTTATAACCATAAAATGTGCCAGCTGTTTTTGAAAAGGCAACAGAAGATGATTAATATCAACATGTATGAGTGTGCATATGTATGGGCGTGTGTGTGTGTGTGTGTGTATGTGGATGCACATGTATGGGGATGTATCTGTAGTTAAACATGGGCATGCGTGTGTGCGTATGTATCAACGTGCACGTGTGTATGTATGGGAATGTGTGTGTTGTGCACACGCAGGCAGAGTTTCCTCCCACCAATTAGCCATGACACAGCTGTGCTTTCCCCTTCTCATCTGCTCCCCGGTGGGTTTCAGTTGAACAATAATCTTTACATACTGTGGCGTTGCCTCCAAGAGCTCACTAGTCATCAATATCAATGCTCTGTCCGACACAACCATAAACTGGCACACGCGTACACACACACAGGTAACAGAAAAAATAGACATCCGAAAGAAATGGAAGAATCAGACACAAAATGTAAGTCATTAGTCTGCTTCTCTCCCCCATTCCGCCCTGTTGATGTATGGTCGGGTGATGTGTTGTGGCACAGTGACGTGTTACCTCTTTGAAGTAGGCAAGGCCCCTAAAATATTCTCCTTATGTAACTGTCCCTGTTACAAGGCCGCACAAGGCTGTGTGAGGCAAAGCGTTATGGTGGAAGGTTTGCTCCCAAATACGTGCGTGTGCTTGTGTTTGTGTGCGAGTGTGTGCGTCAAGTTTGTAAGCACACATCTGTACGTGCTCGTCTGCCTGCGTGTTCTGCGAGACAGACGATGCTTTCTCCTTTGTGAATTATGCAGACCAGGATGAGGGTGCAGCAGGGCGGGGAAGATCCGGCAGCTACACAGCTTTTGAATTAGAAGAGTCAAAATACCCAGTAAAAAACACAACCTTGTGAAACAGAAAAAGAGGGAGATGATGAGAATAAACAGCAGAGAGGAAGACAGAAGGTTTGCAGGAAAGGGCGGAGATGAGGGGAGAAATTAGTTTTGGAAGTGTATTGGACTGAGGACACTAAAAGGGGAAAGAGCATAAGGGCATAAGAGAGAATGGCCCTTAGGAATGAGAGTGAACTGGGTTTATGGTGTCTATAATGGTGTGGTTTAATAAGGAACAACAGCTAGAAAGAGAGGAACACGAATAAAGCAGGAAATTCCTTTGAGAGTGTGGCAATAGCTTTCATATCTGCGGTAGCTTCTCCTGTACTAGCCTCACTGCGTACAGAAATAACCCACCTGCCAATGATGCATAATTACTCTAAATAGCCTGTGATTAGCAGGCAAGGAGCAATCTACTGTATGTGCAACGGTGAGGGATTTATCAGTGAAACGCTCACACACTCTCACAGAGAACAAAGGAAGGCTGGTTATTTTTGGAATCTTTTTTTTACAATCCTCTGTGCCATAATAAGAAAGTGTGCAGCGCCTTGGCAATAAATCCTGGAGACATCACGAGCGGCACATTTACACGTTGTTGGTAAATTTGGATTGAGCTTTTCTATTTGTATATCAAGCCTGACTCTCCTCCCTTTGTCTTTTTCTATCCTTAACCTGTCTTCTCCCTCTTTACTTCTCTGTCCCTTTTCTGAATTGTTCATCCCTGTATTCCTCTCTGCAATCTTTCCATCACCCTGTCTCTCCTGCTCCCGCTCTTTTTACGTGCAGGTATTGGTCAGGGTGTGCCGGTGGTGGCTCTGATTGTGGAGGGAGGTCCTAATGTGATCTCCATTGTGCTGGAGTACCTCAGGGACACTCCTCCAGTTCCAGTGGTGGTGTGTGACGGCAGTGGCAGAGCATCAGACATCTTGGCCTTTGGACACAAATACTCTGAGGAGGGAGGGTACGCGCTCACATGTGCACATCATGCTGTAATCTGAGGACAAACACTAAATCACTTACTCTGGGGGAGAGTTTCTCGTAACATTGTTTGCAATCTGATAACAATGAGTTTGATTATTATCAAATGAGTAAATAACAGGTCTTTGCACACCGAGTCTGTATTTTTCATATGATTTAGATTCGTCATCAAGTAAAAATCATCACACGCAGAGTAGGATGTATTATATAATTCTGCTTGTTCACAAAACTTGCCGTAGGAGATAAAATGGAGTCGACCGGTGAGGATGATTTTGTGGTCCTCTCACTCAGAACATCCATCTAATCCCAATTAGCTGCCAGGAACAAGGAGAATTTCATCTTCTCACCAAAGAGCTGTGAAGTTTCTGAGTCTAGTTCAGGATCCCAGTGGTCCAGTGTGATACCAGCACTGAGATCACACTTTAAAAAGAAAACAAATTTCTGTTATCCAATTGATGCTGAACAGCTCAAACAGATGCGAAAAGTGCATCAGATTGAACACATTCTTTTAAATGACAGGGCTAACATTTCTGATTGGACACAACGTGAGGTTGGATTTGGACGAAAACTACAAACTTGTTGTGCAAAGACCTTTAGTCCCCTAGATCAAACATATGCATACTATTTCATACATCGTAATGCTGAAGCAACAGTATGATAATATGTAAGAAATATTTTTACCATGAAAACATGAATTGATACAAAAGAAGAACTTGAAAAATTCTTTCTGAAATGATCTAATATGTATTTTTACTTACAGTATATTTGCCTCAGCATTGTTTTATAGCTTCATACTGTATATGCAGTTACAGATGAGGGTAAACTTGCAGATTCCCACTTCACCTCTCAGAGAAAATATGCAGAGAGTCCCTGTCAACCTTGGTTTTACCTACTGACAAATAAATCTAATTTGCCTGCTTCCCCTCACACTGTTCTTCCTCTACGTCCCTCTCTCTTACACCCTTCTGACATTTTCTTGTCTTTCCCCCCCCTCACCTCTGCTCCTGCAGCATAATTAATGAGTCGCTAAGAGACCAGTTGCTGGTGACCATCCAGAAGACATTCACCTACAGCCGCACTCAGGCCCAACATCTGTTCATCATTCTCATGGAGTGCATGAAGAAGAAGGAGCTGGTGAGTGTGGTTTTCATACATGTCCACATACACATGCTACGTACATTATTTATATGCATATACATCATTTATGCACATGTATGGTTGTATTTTTTAGATTCCCCAAAGAAAATATAAACAGTATATAAACAACCTTTTACTAATAGCACCAATATCAGCATAAAACTCTAACCCTGTATAGCAAAGCCCCAAAATGAAAATTATGTTAAGCAGAAACAAATGAAGCTTACTCAGCGTGAAACTTTTATTGAGGCAATTATTACCCCATCTTTTATGTATGACATGTAAAGCTAAGTGGATGTAAATGTATTCAGATGAAGTTCAGGACCAAATGGCCTCCACTTGAGAGTCTGTGCCGCTTTGGCCGTGTTTAAGTCAAGAAGCACATCTTGTCAAGCATGGCTGTCACACACATCCCTGTCCCCCGGGAAGGAGTCTCAGTCCCTTCAGCGAGCTGTCAGTCATATGGAACCCACCTCTTATTAATGCTCTTAAATGCAGTGGGTGTAGAGGTGATGTGCAGCTGCACTGCATCGAAACATTACACATTACTCGACGCAGGTCAACAAGAGACTCTGCTCGTCTGCTCTTTTCTAATCACTCACACGTTGAACTGATCTTTATAAAAACCTGCTGAATTGATATTTATGTTCATGGATAAACAGGGCATCACTTCTTCTGCAGCAATGAAGGGAAAACACTGCGTTGCATCATAATCTGCTGGCAAAGCTTCTCTTCTGTCTTCTCGTCTTTGAAACTGACAAATATAAATCTTGGGTGAACATGCTATTTCCTTCCTCTTCATCTTTTGGCAGACTAGAGGTTGACTCTGCCATGACCTTATTACACGCATTGAACTTCTTGGCTTTGACTCGTAAATAGCCATAAACTTTAGTTAACTAAACCTTTTTTGCGTGTGCAACAGCGTGATGCAACACTGGCAAGACAGCACATTTTCTGACACATTGTTCTTCACCAGGGGAAAAATACAGAACTCTCTCTCTCTCCTCTACCTGCAATAGGAAAGGAGTCAATCTCCTTTTTAGCAGGTTAAACCATGTTTGAAAAACCCACATATACCTGCTAATTTTGGTGGGGAAAAAATTAAAAGGGCACATGTGTGAATGTTTCAGTGGTGAAACTTTGCCTCCTGTTCTCTTCCAATCTGTGTAAGTGAGGGGGCAAGAAAACCATTCACCTCCTGTGGTGAAGCAAAGCTGCACAGTGGCTCTTTGGTGAACTTTGACCTTTGTGTGAGATAGGGAGTATTGGTACTGTTGGCTGCCAATGGCACTTTTCTAATGAATTTGTATTCACAGTCATTCACACACCCAAGCTGTATAGGTAGGTATTTATCTTGTGATACTCATCCCACTGTTTGTACAAATACTGCAAGTTAATCATTATGTTTCAGTTATTCAAATAATCATATTGTCACACAAAGAAATCAAAAGCACATGCTCACACAAACCACACATATACAGTATGTGCACACACACAGCACATGTCATATTTTTAGGCAGCCTAGCATTGGTCACAGTTGCAAAGCGTGTAAGTGGATTGATTGTGTCCTCAGTGGGGTTCCAGCGGCTGACTGATGCTCACACTGATGGATCCTCTGAACACAATACACCAGAGCAGAACAATGGCATGTGAATCATTCAGCAGGAGCAGCTGTAGAGGCCAGATAATCTGATGCCGTGTCTCTCCGAATATACCAAACTGTTACCTCTGCCTTCCAGAAACTGAGCACTCAAGAGTATTTTTGGCAACATCAACATCAGAGTTGGCCCCAAGGGTCAAAACACAGCGACTTTTTAGAATACACAAGATTTCACTAAAACACGACAACCCCAGAAAACACAGTGACATCTCAGAATATGGAAAAGAAAGGACAGCACTTCTTGTTTATGAGAACTTCAGGTCCTGGGGACAGTTCAATGTCATCATTCTACTACTCTCAGCAGTGTCTTAAGAGACAAGGGAACATTTTAACAAAGGATGAGACGGCTCCTCATAAACAAAGGCCTTTTACATTTTCATAAAAAACAATCATGACATAATTTGAATGAAATCCGGTATCTTCTATGTGCAGGCTATCTTACTGGTAGTGTTTGCAAGCTTCTGACAGGAGTGCTGCGGACTTCTGGCACAAAATTGTACAGGAAGTCAGACAAGGTTGTGTACCTGATGTTGCTCGACTCACTATTTTAAGACTACAGGAGATGTTTCTTACAAAGAAAACAATGAAAGTGCTTTTCCAATCAGCACTTATTTGCTGGGAAGTGTCTAATTTATTGAAAGGTCAGCAGGGCATGCTCCCTCTGGTGGACCACAGGTCTAACTACTGTTGAACTTAAAGATGGTACAATTTGAAATGGAATAGGTCAGATTCAGTTTGACTCATAAGGATGAAACACTGGAGTGATGCAGCTTCTGAGTAAAACCTTATTCTTGATACATGTGTATGATCATAAAAAGCAGAAAGGTGGTAAATCCAAGAGTGAGACTGATAGTTGTATTACGGTTGTATGCGACTGTACTACAATCGCACCTGATCTGCATCGAGTTTCTATTCTTCCTTAAAAACGTCTCTTTAGCACTTTCACAGATAAACAGTTTACCATCTGGTCTGTGGGACTGGATTTGGAAACATGTTTGGTGTCCCCTCTCTTACAGTAAGGAAACAAAACATTGTCCTAGATGTTGAACAACCTATTCAGTATTTCTGCCAGTGAAGTAACTGTTCTGTTTCTGGTCTTCGTTCTTGTAATGATCGCGGATCTCACGCACCAAAGCCTTTTTGTACTGGCAATAACTTGCTACCCCCAGCAGGGCTACAGAGCTGTTCCTGCAGAATGAATAACAAACTCCACATGTATCCAGTCAGAGCTAAAATACCTTTATTACCTTTATTGAAAGTGGTGCTAACAATATTTAAACTGCGGATGAACATGACATTGCAGGGAACCTTGCAAAATGCTCTAACCCCCATAATGCAACAGTGCTCATTCTGCAATCGTATTCATGTGACATTACATGAAAGTAAAACAATATGAGACCAAAGCACAAATGGATTCAAAAGTATCAGAAAAAAAATGATCTATCAAAATTTGAATCGAAAGCAAAGCTACAAAATTCCATTTGTAAGTATTAGTCACCAGTTTCAGCCTTTCTCGCATCCACATCTAACGTCTGAATGGATACTAAAAGCTGCTTCATGAAAAGTTTTACGCTTTGAAACAACTTAAAGACCCGCGCGGTAGGAGCTGAGGGACCTGGTTCACACATCAGAAGCATGTCAGACAAGTAGGCTGCTGCGAGATCACAAAGTGCTCTTAATACAAGTGAGATCATTTAAAAATCAATATGGAAACTGACAGGACTTAACAAAGGTGTAATGTATTCTCTCCAGAGGGATACAGTGAAACTATAGTATAAACCACAGTCACATATTGTAGAAACCAGTGTTTAAACTAAAGTCAAGTTGTGCCAAGTCATGTTAACATCCAGGTCGGGGGCTGGGTCACCAAACCAGGTTAGATAACATGTGTTGACCCATTCACACTGGCAGCAAATGCGTGTTTATCCTGGGTGGGTGCATCGGTCTGAAAGTGGGTAAGTGTCTGAGAGTGAGAGAGACAATGATAGTGTGTGTTTGTCTTTGTGCCAGTACGCCTGCCTGTGCTTTCATTTTTCTGGCTCCGCTGCACGAAAGCCAAAGAGTGGGAGGGAAAGAGAAAGACTAAAGGTGACTGGCTAGGATAATGTATGAGAGAGCGAGGGCGTGTGTGCGTGTGCGAAGTCCAGAGAAGGACATGGTTTTTTCCTTATTTTCAGCTTGTTGGTTTATTCATGAAAACATTTTGTCCTTCACTTGTTTCCTGTTGCCTCTGCTTTGTTTGTCATACTCAGGTCTGTTTGTTTTATATCAAGAGGCTATAAACTTACAATCCTACGTGCACGCTGGAATTCATACCTCTGTGTTTTTTAAATTTGTTCAAGTGGAACAGGCAGTTTGATTCAGGCCTCAAAGCCATTTTTTGCTCTGATTCTTTCAATTCATGATTCCACATGACAGATGTTATCGTTAATGTATTACTGTGAAGTTAGTAAGACAGTAAATTACAAAACTGAGAAGTGCTATTCACAGCTACAAGCCACAGCTTCACAAAACAATTAGCTAGATACGTGTTTGCATTCAGTTTAATTTAAGGCTCACGGCCCAGTAAAAAAATCTGCTCTGATAGATGATGCGTAATTAAGTCTCAAGTCAGATAAAATGGGGGTGGGGGTAATTGCAAAGCTAATCAATGAGTAATGATGTGCAAGTGCTTGAGTTTTACAGAGGGCTAGCTGATTTAGAATATATAGCTGATGCATTATGTAAGTGCAAGAGAAAGAGAATAGTAAAAGAAAGCATCAGCCACATTTGTATGAATTTGGATGAAGAGGGTAATTATCTTCATCGCGTATGTGCATCGCTTATCATATTTCTTTTATCTCTTTCACATAAAGGTCGTCATTACATGAATGTCAAACAGCACTGAAAAAACCACAGGCAGCATGAGAGTCATTTAAATATCACCACACACTGTTGGCCTTTACAGTAACTTCTTTTTTTCCAAATTCAATTCTTGGTCTCCCGCCCTCGCCTCCCTCTTCCTCTTTAGGGTGGTGTGGGTGTGTGTGTGGGGAGGAGGGTACAAGATGACTGTCCTGGTATCTCCCAGCTTGGTATGAATAATTGAGCACAGAATAGTCCTATTATGTTTAATTCGGATTAAATATTGAGGAGGAACCACCAGGCCACAATGTTCCTCCCCCTCCCTGACAACAGATAAGAACTAGTAGGAGGAAGATGAGGAGAGCGAACAAGTGACTTAAATGGACCATGAGAGAGAGAGGGTGGGAGGGAGGCACAGATGGAGTGAAAAAGGGAGGGTGGAGGCAAATGAGAAAAGAAGTAGAAGAGGTTAAAAAATATTGTGGTTTGGATGAAGAGCAAATTTGAAAATAGGTGCAGAACCGCAAACAGAGAAAACTGCAGAGAGCTCATGAGCAGCAGGGCAGTTTATCAGTACAACATTTCCTGAGTGGAGAAACCTTTTCCCTCACTTTTTTCTTTTAAGCTGTGTATTGTTAACAGTTTGTTTTTTTTTCCCTTTCCTTTTCCCTTATAAGCGCATGGTCTATAGGACTTATTGACATTTCACATGCAGAAGCAGCGAGAGAGTGAGGAGAAGAGCTGAAGCTGGAGCGCAGGAAATCCAAGCACAAGCAATGCCAGTGCAGGGATTTATGTGAGAACCTTGCAAAATCTGAACGTGAGATTAAAAAGTAATAAAGATGGGGGGGAAATGTAGTTAATGGTTCATCCCAGAAAGTAACACAGGAGGAGATCATTTGGGAACCTCTGTGAGCTGTGTGTGTCACGTGTGCCATGTGCTTGGCATGTACATGCAGCAGCATCAGCAGAGTCTTTGCCTGTTAAATGAAGATGAATGTTTTCCAATCAGCTTCGCTCACTACAGCGTGAAGAGCAGTTTTCTGATCCTCTAAGCATGTAGCTTAGTGTCTCTGAAGTTGTGGCAACCTCCGACGGAGCCCAGTCATGCTGAGAGAGATAGCTTTGCCTCTTCCCTTTTCATTTCTCACACCCGTCTTCAATTTGTCAATAGTAAACCTCCCTCCTTCTGTCTTCCTTTGCTTTGCACATGATGCCTCTTTCATGCTGTCTCACATCTATCCTCCCGATTGCTGCCCCTCCTGAGCGTTTCAACTCCTTTCCTCCCTCCTCTATTCTTGTCAACAGAGATTCAGTGTGACAGACACGAGTCAGTGCCCTGTCGCTTGTACGTTGACCCTCAAGTGTGACTGTCGAGGCTGAGTGATGTCAGAAATATATGGAGCATTTTAAGATATTGTAAGCTACAGTTAGTAGTGGACTGCATTTTATGTTGTGATGTTCTAGTCTCAGTGAACGTCACAGACCACCTGACAAGTCGCATTCATCCATTCATAAAGCGCTTCTTCATCGCATAGCATTCACTCACTGGTGCCACAGTCTTCAGGGGCAACTTAGGGTTAAGGGCCTTGCCCAATGACACATGACCTGCAGACTGGAGGAGCCGGGGATCAAACCCCTGACCCTCAGTGTGCTATAGAAATGCCATGGTGCGATCATTTCCCCACAGGGTTATTAACTCATGACAGCACTGGTGTTAACGATTACACTGGACATTTTACAAGAAAAGAAGGTGTTTTAATTTGCTGCGGGCAGCTTCTACTACTACTACTTCTACTACGCTTGAAGTCGTGTGCAGTGTTTCACTTTAATTGACCAAACTGTGGCACTCCACTTCTCGATAATATATAAAAGATCTTGAACACGTTTTACACTGTTGCCCCCCAGCAGCAGCCATGGGTACAGTTCTAAACTGACCTTTGCTTGTTCATGTTTCCTTCATTCTCTCTTGACATTTCTCGCTTGCTGTCCACTATCAATAAAAAGATGCCCACAACATATCTTTTAAAAACTATTGTTGTTCCACTGAACTTGTTTGCTCACAGTAAATACTAAGAGCACTTTTGCTTGAAAGGGACGATGAAAATAGATGGAGTAAAAGCTGTTTCTTAACCTTCACACACACTTATTGATGACTCAGTGCAATTAAATTAGCAACCTAGCATTGTCATAGAGGTTTTGTTTTAACGTATTATCTGTATTGTTCTGTATTGTATTGTAAGCTCCTGTGATAACAGCTAGCACATAACCGCAGGGTCACCTTGGGGGTGTGTCTGAATGAAGGGAAGAGGGAGGAAGATGGTGATAGCGGTGGTGTGACGTAGTACACCAGTGAAAGGTTGCTGGAGATTAGTGGTTGGGGGTGGGGAGCAGGGAGGGTAGAAAGATGATGGATGGAAGAAAAGGAGTGGATGGAGGTAAAGGTGCAGAGGCCTGAAGGGAGAGGGGAGAATAGAAACAAAGGAGTAACATCTTCTATAATTGTCATCTTTCCTCTATCACAGCGTCATCCACCTTTAGGGAACTCTCCATTCTGATGTAATGATACTACAGGCTCACACATGAGCACTCACTTAAAGAATATCGATAGCTGTGCTCTCTCTCTCTCTCTCTCTCTTTCTCTCTCTCTCTTCTTCCTCCTCCTTCTCCTCTGTCTCACTCTCTCTCTCTGCCTCTTCCTCCTCCTCCTTTCTTCTCTACTTAAAGAATATCGATAGCTGCGCTCTCACTCGTTCTCTCTCTCTCTCGCTCTTCTTCTCCTCCTCCTTCTCCTCCTTTCTTTGTCACCATTCTGGTGCAGATGTGGATCAGGGGGTAGATCCAGGCATTTTTTCCACTTTCGCACTGTGAGGCATTTTTTTAAACATTTTTGTTGATTTCTCAGAGAATCATTTTATACTAATAATAATAATATTAGATCTAGTGGATTTCATAAGGGAACCATTGGACCTTGGCAGAGCAATGTGCTCTGTTGAGTTATTTCTAAAATGGATTTAGTTCGAAAATCATGTTTGATGTTTAACTGCAACCTTTTAGAGTCGCAATGCACACACACAAAGAAGAAATACGTTTAAACACGCATGCTTGGTTAGGTCATTGTATCGCAATTGTGTTGGCGGATGGCTACGTAAATGTGTTGTTAACATTAGAGTGAATGCAAAGATGCATTCTTGCAAATAATAATGTAGCCGCTGGCCACGCACACAAATACATACAATAACTAAAAATATGAAAATAAACATTGTGACAACAGCTCATTGGTGTTCCCACTTGTGAAGACCTGAGCTGGTACCTTCACTTCCAGTGCACTCCTATTTCACCTCGAGAATTACCTTTTGATTACACAGGTGACCACCTCACACACACGCACACACACACACACACACTTAGATGCGCTCTATTAGTGATTACATTTGCAATGCATAACACTGGGCTTAGGCGTTAACACGACGCCCTACTCCTCATTTCCCTCTCACAGAGAAGCCTAGATGTCATCAGCATATGGTATACAAATGATGAATGAGCCAACACAATAGACACTGTAAATCATCAATGTGAATTGAATTACTTTCCTGCATTTGGATTGTGTGAAAAGAGAGAGAGGGAGAAAAGAGAAAGATGAGGGTTAGACTACAGCATTGCAGCATGGCCCAAGGGAAAACAGCAGCAAAAGCAGCAGCCCACAGCTTCCCAGAGCTTCACCAAATGAAGCCATTTATAGGGGGGAGATGGGGAAGGGAGATGGGCTGCAGGGAGGAGAGGGAGGTGGAGGAGGTAGATGGGTGGATGGAAGGATTAGAGGAAAAGCTCGTCAGGCATTCAGAACACGCATTCTCCCGTACATGGCTCCCACAAGGTGCCCTTCACATGTGCACACGCATGGGTATGCACGTCCAGTCACGAGTTACCAACAAAGCCGGTGTACACACGTTTGATATAAATAACAAAACAGATATTCAGAAAAGCGGTCCCATTCCTCAGATTTCCCTCTAAGCAGACTTTGGCTTTCATCCACTGCACCATTAGTTCGTCTCTCGCAGGACATAAAAAATGCAGCTGAAGACTACACAGATGAAGACCTAAACTGGCCTCAGAGTCAAATATTTTGCTAAAGGCCTAATCTGAAAAACGTTACACTCAGCAAAAGGAAAAAAGAAGAAAATGATCTTCAGAAATGGAGAGCAAAATTATTCATATTGATGTGATCTCCCTCTTTGTCATGTCTTTGCTCTTATTTTCTTGGTTGCCTTCTCAGACAGTACAGTGAAGCAGCTGTTTGGAGAGTTTAGTGGTGTTCCCTGCAGAGGAGGATAAGAGAGAAAATCTGGAGAGGAGATCATACAGTACCGCTGTTTTCAGACATGAACTCCGGAAACTGTCCAGAAAAATTATACGACAAGTTTTCTGACTTCTCATCTTCTTCCAGCGTATTCTACATGTATTGCACCTCTTTGTTTTTCCTCTGATTTGAGTCATTTGTATGCTAGAAACTTCATCAACACACTCACTCACTGTGAACGCTATGAACATGTTTATCTCACCTCGGTTCATTTTCTGGACATTTTACTGGGGTGCTGGCAGAAGTTCTGCAAAATGTTTAGAGCCATTGACTCTGGCATTAGCGTTCACACCTACAGCCCCTCTGGAAAATGTCTGAATATGGCTTAGGCTTCAGTGCATGTCTGAAACTATAGCTTATGCTATATCAGAGTGATTGCTCTCCTCTCCTCTTCTCCGAGTACCTTGAAAGCAGTGTGTTATTTGTGTAGATTAATCTAATAAACATATTCACTCAGGATGTGACTGAATTTGTTTATGCTGTAAGCCTCGATACATTCCTCCATATCCCCCTCTCTCTCTCTCTCTCTCATTCAGATAACAGTTTTCCGGATGGGGTCGGAGGGACATCAGGACATTGACCTTGCCATCCTCACTGCATTACTCAAAGGTGGGTGCGTGCACATTGCGTGTGTGTGCTGGAGCATGCTTGTAAAGTAATTGACTTCCATTTCACCACTGCCCTCTAGGGATGGGGTTATTTGGATGTTTCTGAACATGAAAAGGGGTGATGATGATAACGTTTCAGAAAAACTGCTGCTCTCCCTGTCCCAGTTTAAGTGTATGTTCAGAGCACACAAGTATGTTTTTGTTTTTTCGGTTCATAGCTGCGTAATAAAACAGATGTCTGTGCTTATGTTTTTCTCTCTCTCTTAAAGCTCCATTAAGCAATTTTGATCACTGCGAGGCAGGGAGACTCAAACACAAACTTGAGTTGAGTTTTGATGTTATATCAAACAATTGTTTACTTACAGATTTTGAAGAAATGTGATAGTGCCTCTATTCTGGGGGCCTCTTAAAGGTCCAGTGTGTAAGATTTAGGTGAAAGGGATCTATTGGCAGAAACTGAATACAAAATAATCATGCTGATGTTTTCACTAGTGTGGAATCACCTAAATTGTATAGAGAGGTTCCTTTGTATTTAAATATTTTATATTTACATGAGGAGCAGGTCCTCTCTAAAGAGGCCACCATGTTTTTTTTAGGTTTCCATAGGTTCTCTCTAATGTTTAGAATGGGAGGGTGAGGTGAGGGGTAGTCTGAAAAACTGATTGAGGAGGAACCACCAGCCCACAGATCCTGCTAACTTTTCCAGGATTACTAACCCTAGCTTTAAGTCCAGTGTTCTCTAACTAATGACAAAAGTATCTGTTTCGCGAATGATTAGATTTTTTCTATCACAGCACAACATGTACGTTTCCCCCCTCTGTATTCGAATGGATTCTGCCAATGTTATATACCATTATAATTAGTGAGCTTTAGGGGTGGTTGTATTTTTAGCCTCATAAAGAGCCGGGCTTGCTGTTTCCCCCTGTGTCCAGTCTTCATGCTGCGCTAATCTAACTGACAGCTGGCTGTAGCTGTGTGTAGTTATTGTACTGTCATCCTCTCTCATAACTCTTGGCATGAAAGTATCCAAGTGTATTTCACAAAATCTCAAACTACTCCTTTAAATGTGAGCTGTTTGCAGCTCTACTAGAGTACGAGCTACAGTTTCAGACCATCCTGCAGTGAATCCAGGTTTCCAGCATGCTAATGAAAGCCTGTTATAAAAACAACACCTGCAGAATAATCCATTATCATGAACACAGCTGCTCATTAACTCTGCGGCCAGAGACAGATAATTACAGGAAGACACTTAAAGTCACCACTGAATTATGGGAACGGGCGTCTCTTTGTGCCATGTCAATGAATATTTCAGTGTAATTTGTTTTTATAAAATTAATTTGGAATGAGGTAATAATTTGGCCAATGTCCTAACCATACACTGTTGTGTCACATGACTTCTTATATCTCTGGAATGATTTAAGTGGCCACATTGAAGCTATAGAGTCCCACAGTCCAAGCTTGAAATGTACAGCAGTGTTTTGTGTAGTCATGGCACAGCAAAGTGTATGTGAAGATATACAGTCAGCAGCATAGTGCGATCCATATGCTGTAACACATTGCTCTGCAGTCATCAGCACCAGTACTGAATTGGAGTAACAAAATTGAAAATATGTCGAGTGTAGACAAAGCAATTAAACAAAATCTCTATTGTTCCTCTACCCTATTCCCCACTTCACTGTTTCCCATACCTTCACCATCCCACGCACATGCACACTCATGGATCAATTTTTTCGATTGGTTGTTCAGTAGCTTGTATTGATCACAGTTGCTTTTGCGTCTTCAAGGAATATGACTTTGACTTGGCTCCCTGGAGTTTGCATGCGTATACTCTCACACAGACACTCATATGAACACACTCTTGTGCACGCGTATGAAGAAAAGAGTGAGTCCTGTGGGACTACTTAGCAATTCAGAGCATATGATTGACAATTTTGTAATTGTTCCTCAGAGAAAGATTTGCCTCTGCAGAGACTGAGGACATTAAACTTGAGTTTAGAGAGAGAGAGAGAGTGAAAGTGTGTTTTACATAATTTATGTGAAGCAGTGTGTAAAAGACACACACACTTCGGCCCATACGTCACTCCCTGGTCTTTATCTATTATGTGTTCTGCTGAATTCATGTGTTGATTTCTGCTACCTTTTCCATTCATTTATTTTCACATTTAAATAAATAAAGGATGTATTAATGAGGGAAGCAATTTAATTCAAAGGAACAGGAGGAAAAAATGGAAGGAATAGAAGGAAGAGACTGAAGAAGAGAAAGGATGACAGAGGAGGACTTAGGAAAGGGACAAAAATATTTTATGGAAAAAAACACAAGGGTCATTTTTCATGCAAGTCTCATCCTGTGGCTGAGTGAATGAGACGCATAAAGGCTTTTAGTGTTAAATGAAATCAGTCACATCCTGCCTGAGAGCTTTTTAAAATGTTTGGATTAAACTCCTTCGTCGAAGGAACTAAGATACTGCCTGAAGCTCGACAAAGCACGGCACAGTCAAGAATCCGCAGTGAACAGAGCAAAAAGCAGGGAGAAAAAGAGAGGATAAAGGGAGTGAATGTGTGAGAGAAAGTGGGAACAGACGGAGCTGAAGGGAAACTGCGGCCAAACCCACATGTTGTTACAGAGGGGTGTTTGGAGTAATTGATGATCTGCTGTCAGAAGTAGTCAATATCCTTCAGATCGGGTCCATAAAGTCAACTGACTGCAGTTCAACCTCCCAGAGTGACGCCGCAGGCTTTTAAAAGAGCAAGGCCGGCCCACCTTTTAATATAAACATACTGTATCTCCACTAAAGCTCTTATTAGGGGGCTGTGCATGTTATTAGACGGGCTCTGTCTAAATTTACAGCATTAATCTCCAGTAATGCTATTCAGACTTTTAAGTCATAGAGAGCACTGTGTAAAGCAATGATACTGCTGTGCTTATTAAAAGCTACACTGTCTCTTCTGCACACAAGAGATTCTCACAATCCTTCATACTTCACTGGATTTTTCTAAAGGCCGAGTTCGATTATTTCCTTATTGTTCTCACGTTGTTAAACTCCCAGTGTACAGGTAAATTATTCATGGGAACAGCAGACTGTGGTTCTCTGTTAGATCTCACTGGTCAGTCTCTCACAGGCCGACTACAGAAGATAAAATGCAGTGATGTATTACACTGAAGCTCACACTAGATTATGCAGTTAGATTAAAAAAAGAACAAACATTCACTTGAGACTCATGACTGAACTGATCGAAGGTCAAGGTCAATTAACAAAGATGTTTTTGGTTTTGTGAAAATCTCAGGGACTTCTTCAAATTTGGTACGAACACTATTTTGGATTCAAAGAGGAACTAATTACATTTTAGTGGTTGAAGATAAAGCTCAGGTTTACCACTGACCTCATATGAGTCTGAAAAGGTTTGACCACTGAAACTGCACTGGTTGGTGGAGGAGAACAACAGCAGTCTATTTTTTTTTCCATTCCAACAAAAATGGTTTCACTGTCACTTATAAGATGACACAAGATTTACGTTGTCCGGTCTGTTCACAGAAGTGACACGCAGCAAAGCTCTCACAGAGACAAGTCGCCATTTACTTTTTCCATCGTTATTGTCAGCGTGGCTGTGAATGCCTTTTCTCTTGCCCACGCTTCATTCAGAGTTCCACTGAGCTAATTGGATCTGTCTACAATGCCACTTGATCTTTTGTTTTCTGAGCTAATGTAGCTTTATTTTTTTCCCCTCGTGTCGAGGACCACAGTGCAGTAAATGATGTTTGCTGACACAGAAAATCAAATGAGCAGAGTTGTTATAGTCCACATTTTATGGAGCATTAAATTAAGTGTTACATCAAAGAGCAGGCAGTCATTGTCCAATTTAAATACATCTTCTTCTCTGCAGGCTCACATTAGGCTTCAGCCAAAGGTGGCAACAGAGACTTTATCTGTCTGTAGTTGTTGCACAAAGCCTCAAGTTCGATGAAGCCTCTGCAGCCCACATAAGAAGCCCTCAACTCAAAAAGCTACAAATCAATGCATTTTAACCATTGTTCTGTATGTTTATTCTGTAAGAGATATAACTCCAGTTCTCCCAAGATTGAGATAAACCTTCACTGTATCATACTATACCAACTATTAAGCAAGAAAACAATTAGCATTCAGCTAACATGAATAAGAATATAATGAGAAATGAAGAAGCAGTGATGACAAATCAATGTCAATATTCAAGCAACATAGAAGATTGAACAACGGAGAACTAGAATATTACACGCCTCCACCAAGCCCCAAAGGTCTTCTTATGAAATGACATTTAAAATCACCAGATCCAGATTTTTATTTGGACCTGCACCAAATTGAAAATGTTCATAATTATCAGTCCCCTAAACATGACCGATCTTTTTTATTACTCTCTGTGAAAATGTCAAAAAACATCACAAAATCTTTTTTTTTTTTTTAACTCTCCTGCTGAGAAACAAACAAAAGGACAGTGGTGAAAACATGACCTTCCTGGTGGAGGTGATGAATAAAAATCACACTAACAGGTTGTTTTAAAGTTAGGATCTTTAACTTTGTATTTGTGTTTAAAAAGAAATATGACATTGTCCTTCAACTTGCTTCCTCCTCTCTCAGGTGCCAACGCCTCTGCTCCTGACCAGCTAAGTTTAGCTCTGGCGTGGAACAGAGTGGACATCGCCCGCAGTCAGATCTTCATCTATGGACAGCAGTGGCCTGTAAGATCCATAATCCTTGTCAAGAATGAATAATACATACTGCAGAAGAAATACTGCTTCCACTGCTTGTTCTTGTTGCATTACATCCACTGATATTAACAGTTCTTTATACAGCTCTGCTTAATTGGGTCTTTTTTTCACACAAGATTGTTTTGGCGTTAAATTACTGTTTTTAATAACTAACATAGCGTACAAGAAATTTCTCACAGTGATTAACATTTACACCAAAAAACTAGTAATTATTGAATATTTTGTAAGAGAAATATGATAACCTAAACAGAACTGAGTGAAATTATACTTTCAGCATTGAAGGTAATTTGGATTCAGAGTGCTATTCAGAATCAGTCATGAGTGGAAAGAACAACTGAAAAATGGTTACAAACAGTAATTAAGGACTACTGTGGTTATCTAAGAACATAATTGAAATGTATGCATTGCAGTAGTCAGACTTCATATTTTGAACCATTTTATTTCAGCTTACTCTTTTTTGAATCTACTGTTCTATTAAAATTTATATTTTTGCACCTCCACTTGCATGTTGTGTGAAACTGATAGTGCATAAAGCAGTAACGCTGCTCTGGAGTTCACTGCATTATCAGAGTGAGTACTGAAGTTGCCTGTTGTAGGAATCCTGTATTTAAGTAAATTATGGGGCTCAAGCTTTATTTCCTTGAAGTCCTGTTTTCTGTTTTTTATCCTCATTATCTAAAACCTCTGTTCCATGTGCCGTAGGTCGGTTCCCTGGAGCAGGCGATGCTGGATGCCTTAGTTCTGGACAGAGTGGACTTTGTAAAGCTCCTGATTGAAAACGGAGTCAGTATGCACCGTTTCCTCACACTCTCCAGATTGGAGGAGCTCTACAACACGGTAATAATAAGTGCACATGAATGACAAGTTGTATCGTCTCTTGCAACACACCAGTGAAACACCACTTTCAGAAAATAATAGTGATTTTGAGTTTTCAAGTGAAAGGGTTATTGAAAGGGCACTTTGTAAGAAAATCATGGAGCTTATAGTGAAGTGAGGTATGGTCAGTTCTGTCTTAATGAGCTGTAGATGCTGTCTGTTTCAATAATGGTATCCTCATATGTTGTGTCTCCAGAGACATGGACCATCCAACACGCTGTACCACCTTGTACGAGATGTCAAAAAGGTAAGAGCATCACTGCCGTGCCTTTATCTGTTTGGGAATGTTGGCTTGAATCTGTGTATTAAAGAACACATGTTTGACTATATTGTGTTTCAGTTGCTTCTTTGCGGTGTGCGTCTGTTTGCATCGATTGGTGTGTAAGTTTGGTAGCCCTAGTTGCTGTTAACTGCAAATAGAGGCCAGCTTTTCTCTTTCAGCTGGAGTTGCGGGCTGCAGTGGCTGTGTAGAGCTATGCACGACTCTCATCCCTCTCATGACTCTTTACTTGTTTTCTTTAAGGCACACACCACCATGGTAAACAAACATGACATGTATAAAACATTCTTTCATCCACAGAACTTGAATCAAAGAAAACTCGTGGGGCTGATCAAAATGAACTTTGCATACTAACAATCTAATCCTACTTTTATTATTATTAACAATATTATTTATCTACTGAGTCCTCTTCAGCGGCCGCAGGTTCGGTTCTGACGCGGCCCCTTGGCTGCGTGTCTTCATTGTTCTCTTTGTCCCTTTCATGCAAAAATTCTGTCTGGTCAAAAAAGGCCAAATTGCACAAACAATTCTAAAGACAAAAGAAATGTATGAAGCATGTGTCCTCTGCTCCTATTTAGTATTCTAATATTTCACAATTAAAATCTTTCACAATTAAAACAACAGGAACACTAAAGTGCTTTTACTTTGAAACGGGTACAGAAAGTGTTGCAAAAATATTTATGTTTGACAGATAGACAGTGAAACTGTGGTGAAAAATCAGGTTCATTGAATACTTTGCTGTGAGCTGTGCGTGTTACACAGAGAAAAAAGGCAAGACCCCCACTCTCGAGAAGCAAAGCTTACACACAACGCTCCTGAGACACACAAGTTTTTAAATATTAATTTATGAAGTTAATTCTTTGAATCGTGATATTGCTTACATCAAACCAGTCTTTTTGTATTATGACAGTGTTAATTTCATGTTTAGAGAAAAAATGTTGGTATGATTTGGCTGCACTTAAGCCAAGATTTCGACAATGTGCAGTCTTCATTATTTATTTTCATGCAGACTTCGTATAGCGCCATGATGATTACAGGTGATTTACATTCACCACATGTCTGCACACCAATTAGGAGCGATCCCACTGTTGAGGGTTGATGGAGAGGTCAGTTCTGTTAGAACTAAGAGGTGTTCATTAATTTAGTTGCTGCTGATCACAGTAATAATGTAATCCCCACCCCCCACCCTCTGAGTCGCTGAAGACGCTCTTTATGTTGTAATCAACCTCATTTACCTCCACACTGTCTTTAAACACAACTCTGATCTGTAGTTGCTGCAGAGAACATGCAGTTTTACTAACACACAACATCTCACTCCAGAGACTCACAAACATGCAATCACACTCTGTAGTGCATGGCATAAAATTACCATCTTCTTTTGCCAGAGCTTTGTGTCAGTGCCATAGTGTAGCTTAATGTTTGTGTGTCATTGTTGTGTATGACAGTGTGATGCTAATTAGACATAACTACTATCCCTCGGGTTGAGTCACCATGTCATCGCTGTTTCCTGGGTTTATAGTTCTCTGCAGACAAGATGCACTGACAGCGACTGGCAGCTCTTCTTTTGATTCTGATGCAGGTGTTTGTGTTAATAACAGCTGTGAGGGCTGCTCTCAGGTTTAATCTGGCCAATTCATTAGACTGTGTGAACGTTGAGTCTGAAAACAGGGCTTGTGGTTAGCTGGCTGAGCGCAGCTGCCAACACAGAAATTGGTTTTCCTGCGGCGAAAGTGAACAATGCACTTTTGTGGTCAAAGGTTGATAGCAATACACCTTGGGCCTGGAGTCTCACATAACAACGGGGTTGGGAGGAAATCCAAATGTAACAGGGACAGTGAAAGAACAGGAGTGAGCCAGAATAAATGGGTGTACTGTAGGTCATCGACTGGATTGAAAAATACAGACCATGTATGTTACATATTTATTAAATATTGTCTTTACCATAGCGACTTGTTTTTCATTTGCTTTCTGTAAAAATGGCACCTTAGAGCTAGGCTTGGTGTTCCTGGAAAGCTACATGAATGTGCACCAATTGAGATCTGCTAGAAGCCGGTGTATGCCAGCAGTGTATGTCTCTCCAGTTTAGGACTGAACGATCTGCCTGCCGGCACACAGACGGGTACGCTGACAGGTCGTATCTATTACAGTCCTGTGAGGGCCACAGACACTGGCTGTTTTTGTTTTGAGACAACTTTATTTACTGATATCTAATGGGAGGTATAGAGGATTACATTAAAGAGGATTAGATTAAAGCTACATCCATACAACTAACTTTTCATTTGAAAACGCATCAACTTTGCCTGTTGTCCACGCTACTCCAGAGATTTAGAAGTTTGGAAATGATAATGGCTCCGTTTTAGTTTGGACTGGCAGAAACTGATATGTAAGGAAACCATGACATAGACACATACACTTGCTGGTTGGGTCTTTTTAGTCATGACGATCCCATGGCCCCCTTCTGGAAGAAAACAACTGGCAGAAGCCTTGACTGCCAGTGTAGAACCCAACATGGGTCAGCATTGCTAAACTAAAATAGCGGTATGGATGAAGCCTTTCAGAAACAACTTACTGACCCTAACTTCAACAGTAGCCTCAGCTGTTTATTTCTTGGCTATGCTGAATAGAGGCAAGAAAAATACATTTTGAATTTTCAGCAGAGCAGCTTCCCCATTATTAAGTCAGCCAAGACTCAGCCTTTACCAAATACACAGGAGAATTAAAAACTGCAGAGGGCTAAGCTCTCGGAGTGTATCAATACAAGGTGTAAACAAACAGTTGTTAGTATGAGCTTCACCACCGCTGGGAATTTAAAAGAGGGCTCGGCTGACCACTGACTGCTGCATTTGAACTATATACTGTATATATCAGGAGGATGAGGGGGTGAAGCTTTGTGCGCTTTGAAGCACAAACTTCAACACTGAATCGACAAGCAGCGTCTGTGGCTCTTGTCAAAGTGCATCAGCCGGCCCACAGGGGTTTGTCAAGCAGCGCGTCCCTCGTCTTTGCTGCCGATGAATTTTGATCTTTGGATATGAAGTCAGGCCCGAGGATGAGCAAGTGAGGCCTAGGGTTCCTTGTCTCTTGCGTCTGATTGCAGAAGGGTGGAGCCGGTATCAGGGTGTCTGGGTATCAGTGTAAAAGATATGTAAGGTAATTGGTGTGTTTCAAAGGAAACAGTGGGGGTCAGGATAATGATTGCGGGATCTTGGGGTTGATTTGGAGGGCATGAGGAGGAGCAGCGAGTGTTGACGTGGTTATAGTCTTCACGTGAAAGGACTTCCATTTCAATAATGATCCTCCCCTCCAGCGCTAATAGCTGTCTGTCTTTCTTTCCATGCTATTGCTCCTCTCTTCCAGGCTAATAAGTCACTACCTCTTCCACTTTCTCTTTTCCCTCTCTTCTAGACTGCGTTAAACCTCAATGAGAAGACCTCATTATTTCCCTAAATGCAAATTATGACAAATCATTCAATTTTTTTTACATGCTTTGTTATTCTCCTCACACAATATATTCTCTCTATAAATCGTACTGCTTCTGAGTTTTTAAGCTCTCTTGATTTTCTGCTTCTCAGTTGAATTTAAGAGAAGAGGTTGAATTTGGGGCTTTAAGGTTTCACTTTCTAGAAAGCCACCAGGAGGAACACCATACCTAAAATTGTGACTGTTTTTTTCCAATATTTTGAGTTATGAAAACGAGGAATGACTCAAATTTTCTGCATTCAAACCATGAACTACGTTGTTTCTGAGAATTTGAAATCTAAAAAACCCAAACTGATCCACAGTCTGGTGGAGGAAACAGTTCATTAAAGAGGCTGGAAGAGAGATCTTTGTCTATGTATCTCATTTCCCCTGCTCTTGCTTATCGTGCGGTTTACTCACTGACATTGTGTGTTTTTTCCAAGCGAGAATATCCAGGGTTCAGTTGGATCTACTTCAAGGTGAATCCGATAATCACGTTTTCTCTTATAGCCAAAAAAAGAGTTTGATATGGATTTTGTAGTTTAAGTGTGACTGTATGATTTGTGTTGTACGCTTGTATTTCCCTCTTCTTTATCTTCCTTTATTAATCCATTGGTGCGGGTTGTTGCATGTTAACACTGTGTGGTTTTCTAGGGAAACCTGCCCCCGGACTACCGCATTAGCCTCATCGACATTGGCCTGGTCATTGAATACCTCATGGGCGGAGCTTACCGGTGTAACTACACCAGGAAGAGATTCAGAACTCTGTACCACAACCTGTTTGGACCCAAACGGGTAAGTGACTGATTCTCACCCTCATTAGTGTCCCCCACCATTTAATGCCTTTCAAAGTCTGAGAATTTATAATGTCATTAATCAAACCAACAGTATCAGTGAAATGAGCCTCATGATCAAATTTGCCCTGGAAGGGCAAGATAGATAATATGAGCAAATTATATTTTAATAATAAAATGTTAATTAGTTATTGTGCACTCGCTGGTTAACTCCATCTTGCTGATGTAAGTAGGTAATTAGTGTGTACATACACATTTACTGGGTGAGATATGAAGCAAGGAGGAGCAAGGATGACGGAAATCTTTGCGACACACCATTAAAAACTTTCCTTTACTCAGATAAAGCTTTCAAACAAATGAGGAAGACGCTTGTCTGAGATCGTAGGACACAATTTTTTGTGTAGGAAGGAAGCCCAACAAAGTAAAAAACTTATGTTTAAAGAAATGTTTGTTCGTGCCTCACATCAATATGTAAAATAACAAACAGCAACTCTATTGGTGAGCCAATGGATCATCTCTTATCTATTGCCTTGAACAATAGGTTTGAGCTGTAGGTGTTTGTCTTCAAGGTGGTGTTTTAAGTCTACATATCTCACATATGCCCACATCAAAAACTGAAGCACTGAAATAAAACATTTAGACAAACTCAACATGATGTAAAGGTGTTTATTGTGTTGTTTGAGTTGCGGAGCTGGAGTGATGGTGCTGCTCATCAGCAGAGGTCAAACATAAGAGTCCACCTCCTGTTTTTCTTCATCTCAACATTAAATGGAGCGGCAGCACAAGCTTTTAATTAGCTTGTTGCAACGAATCATCCATCTATAGCAGTGGCTCTTCATCATGCACCATCATTGTATCATACATAAGTCATTTCAACTACTGCAGAAACTTACTGATAAGCAGACGAGGGGAGAAACTAATCTTTGAAACTGTGCAAATTGTGGTGGTAGTTCTACAGCACATATATACAATAACATATATGTTATATGTTCATGCTCTGTTGTGCCGTACTCATTCTGCCTCAATACTTTTCCACAGGTGTGTTGAAAATAGACATACACAGCTGTGTATGTTAAACCATATTTCTCCTTGATGGTGCATCTTTGTGATTTTATGTTTGAGTGTGTGTATAAGTGTTTGTCAGCGTGAGTCTTCACGTGCCTGTTTATCTAATTGTACGTCTGCCATGGCAGCAACAAAGAAGCTGGAAAGACAAAGATAAAGCAAAAGCAGAGAAATGGGACAGAGACTGAACATAGAGGCAAAATGAGAGAGCGGCAAAGAGAGAGAGAGAGAATCAGTTCAAATTTAACTCTAGATGAAATGAACATGCAGTCACATAGTCACACACACACACTAACACATGTTAACTTAGAACAAATCCTGGAAATAGATGCAGATATCAAAATCCCCACAGGAGACCTGGGCTATTTTTACCAACACAGATGATGGCTCATGAATACATAATTCATACATGCCCTGCTTTAATACAGATACTCAGCACTGTACAAAATGCAGAAACACATGGTTGTTGCTTTATATATATTATACGTAGTGACTATCGATATTAAAGTTTATTAATTCATCAAATGTGAGTGCATCTGTCTGTCTGTCAGTCCTTGTTGTGTTGTAGTTAGAGAGTAAACTGCTCTATAAAATACATTCGACACGGTTTCTTGTTCTGTTTGTTTATGTTTTTGTTGCTTTTCTAGCCCAAAGCCCTGAAACTGCTGGGGATGGAGGTGAGTGTTGATCTCATCAAGGTTGTTCCTCAGTCATTCCTTCACTGTTCCTCTCCCTCGTCTCCAACACACCAGTCCTCTCACTCGCAGTCTGTGTTAAGTGTTGTTCTGTCACTCTGCAGAATCTTTTCAGTGTGCGCTGTGCGCCTCGACGTCTTTGAAGGAAAGACCTTGAGGCATATTTAATTCATCGTGGTGGCAGTCTGTATGCACGTTTGAGCCAGTTGTTGTCAAATTAAATTATCAGACTCTTCACACTTCCTGGTACAAAGTTATATATTTTTTTTCAATTTGGATTTTCACTGATTTTGTAAAAGAAAAAGGACTAATGAGCCCAGACAGTTTAAACAACACACCTCTTATGACACATGTTAGAGCAGCCCAGTTACATTTAACTGAATAGGTAATGACTAACCTAACAGGATTACATAATACATTGTTTGTGTACTCGGATGTATCCATGGTGTATGTACCATGAAGCTCTACATCGTAAACCTTTTATCACAGCATGTGTCTCCAGAGGTATTTATATCAAATATATTTGGCTGTCCGTTCCTGTGTGTCTGCCTGTTTGAAACCTGTCTCCCTGTCAGTGTGTGTTTCCTCCTTATTTGTGCCTGTTAAAATCTATTTACTTTCCTTGATGCTTTGCTAAATTTCCGTAAACTAGTTTAGCATTCACTAATATAGCCAGTCAAGAGTTTTAAATGTAATGCTTTTAACCCTGGACTCCATATTGTATTGCAATCATTTCTAAATATCCATGAGCTCATAAATTTGCCTACTTATTAATGGATGATAACGTCGCTCTCTGAATAATTTACTGCAGAAGTATTATCATATGTTTCTTCATCCACATTATGTTGCATAAATCAAGCAGCAATTTTAGTAGCTCTGAATGTCATAACTTACATGTATGTAATTATCCAACGATTGTTAGTCCTCAGCTGTTTTAATGTAAAATTATTGGAGATCAATAAGGCTGACGTGCCTTCTCTAACTGGCAGTGTCTGTCTCTCCAGAGACAATGAGAAAACCTGGAGACGCTCAATGTTTCACCTCAAGTGGTTGTTAGTCATGAGTAAAGGGAAAGTCTAAACATAAACACTTTTGTGTCGTCCTGTTCTACTGACTTTATGGTAGTGACTATAACCTCTTCATCGATGCCTCTGTTTTTCCGCCCCGCTCACTTGTTTTCGGGACCACCACCAGGACGACATGCCAATCCGCAGAGGCCGCCAGAAGACCACGCGCAAACGAGAGGAAGAGGTCGACATCGATTTGGACGACCCGGAAATCAACCACTTCCCTTTTCCCTTCCATGAACTGATGGTGTGGGCCGTCCTCATGAAACGTCAGAAGATGGCGCTGTTCTTTTGGCAGCATGGCGAAGAGGCCATGGCTAAGGCTTTGGTAGCCTGTAAGCTTTGTAAGGCTATGGCGCACGAAGCCTCGGAGAACGATATGGTGGATGACATCTCCCAGGAACTAAACCACAACTCTAGGTGGGTGACACTAATGATGCACACAGATATTCCTGTATAGTGTCATTGTCCTGGGTGAGACATGGTTTTGTGTCTGCATTAAACTACTAAAGGTCAAGTGTAGATTTAGTGGGTCTGACAGTGACAAACCGCTGAATACTCCCTCCACTCATCCCTCCTTCTCTAAGCATGAAGGAGAAGCTACAGTGGTCTTCAGATTCCATAAAAATGTAAATGGTGTTTGTTAGAGCCAGTGTTTTCGTTTCTCAGTTCTGGGTTACTACAAGAGCACTTACTCCAGATGTGGATTCTAGGCTAACGAAAACATGATAATTCGTAGTTTCCAGCATAGACTGTGTATACGGATGGTAGACATATCATGGATACGGGTTCCGCAATTGCTTTTGGCGTCATTTGGAGCTAAAGTCAATAATGCAATGTGAGTGTTATGTGGAGCCTTGATATCGAGGTCCCACCATTACAAGTACTCGACCAATCACAAGTCAGCATCAGCTGTCAATCATGACGTTTTACCCTGTTTTATAGCAACAACTTGCTAATTAAAATCAAACTTACTGGATACATGAACACTTGAACATAAGTCACTGTGATGAGAACTACCTAAAATGACAGACGCTATCTTTGAGAAAATTGTATTTGACACGTACTTTGACTTTGTAACTCGGTCCATATCCCATCCACTAGCATGGAGGAGGTGGGATTTGTGACCTATGCTGCAGGCATCAAAATGGTTTGGCTTCACTTCCAGTGATCTGTCATGTCATCAATCTTTATATTGTCTTATATTGTATCAGATTCCTAGATTAACAGTCTAATGTGTGCAAAAAATGTTTTGCACTTCTCATGTTAACAAAACAAAACCCTTGACTGAGTTGAGAGTCCAGATGGGAACATGTAGTGCCAAACTCCAGCATGTGTGCTGATGCAAACACACAAACAAACTAATGTGCTTTTTCTCCTGTTGAAGCTTACCTGTTTTAAATGACTACTGACTCCTACGGATGAAGGTGACATACAAACAGAGAACATACATCATCATTAGTTAACAATCTGCATCTGATTAGATAATCACTTCGAAATGCTGACTACGAAAATAACAGTTATCAGTTAATAACCCCTTCCACCAGCACCCACCTCCCCCACACGCTGCAATCACACTAATTTGTGTCCGCATGTGTGTATTTGTATAAACTCAAAGGATAATTGTTTGAACTGGTGTTATTTCTAATGCGTGGTAAAATAAATACAGTAGTGCCTTCTGTTGGGACTTTGCACAAACAAACCAGATAAACAAATGCTGTTGAAAGAGTAACCTTGTGCTGTAAATGTGGGGGTTCATTAGAGAGGCAATTCATCAGAAACTCATTCATGTATTCACGCAACACTGCTGAAATGTGTCATATGCAGTGTGTCTATTTCATTGTAAACACTTGCACACCAAATCCTCCAATCTCCAGCAGAGTAAGTTCCCTGTTATACACTGGACTGATTGCTTTCCAGTGTATTGTGAAATATCGCGTTGTGTATTTTTGAGTGGGTGTTCATGTGTATCTGTATACAGGGGAGTCCTTTAAGGTGGATATCGGGTTGAAACTTTATGGATGGAGGATGGATGTGTTCGCCATATTGAAGTCCTACATTGTTCTTATAGTGCTGCTTCATTCTCAAAGACATATTATATATCCCCCCATTGTTCTGTAATCAATCCGCTCAGAGCGTTTCTTGTTTGTGTACTTTGTACCTACATTATAAATTTGAACAGGAAAAGATTTGACTCTGTGTTTAAGTGTTTTCATGCAAACCTTTTCTCCAGAGTTCATCCAGATGGTCGGTGATTGACCAGACTAATGTGTATTACTGTTTCTGATCATATGTCTGCCTGAACACTATCTCCTGCATACTGTTTTTATTTTCCTAGAGAGTTTGCCCAGCTGGCGGTGGAACTCCTCGACCAGTCCTATAAACAAGATGAGCAGATGGCCATGAAGCTGTTGACATACGAGCTGAAGAACTGGAGCAACGCCACCTGTCTGCAGCTGGCGGTAGCGGCCAAACACAGGGATTTCATCGCTCACACCTGCAGTCAGATGCTGCTGACCGACATGTGGATGGGACGCCTGCGTATGCGGAAGAACTCCGGTCTGAAGGTAACGCAAGTTTGAGACACAACCAGATGCTTGAGAAGTACAGTTATATTAAATCACATCTGTCTGGAGTTCACAGCGTTAGAGAGGAACTCATAGTGGAATGCTCGAGTCCCCTTAGACGACCACAGAGAAGCTGGGCAGGAAAAATAATGAGAAGCCTTTTGACCTCCTTGAGAAACTACTGCAGACGAGGCCCAAATAACTCCTCTGTTAAAAAAGTAGAGGGTGGTCATTCATTTTGCATGTGTGGAAATGTGGATGTGAGGATTGCTATTAACCTTTGTGCAGAAAATGAAAATGCCATGTTTGTTTTTAGCATTATATATCTTATAAGAAGCAGAGGCCAGATGTATGTGCTCTCTAAGCACCCTTCTAGTTTTACAACAGTTCTATGTAAAATCAAAAGTGCATATCTGGATCACAATTCCTCAGGTCTATTCAGAAACTATAAGTACATTCTGAGAGCACATACATCTGACAATGCTGATCCTGTATTCTGCCATGTTAAAGAAAGTCAGACAAAAAAGACTTGCCTGTCTATTCAGAGCTGCACTGGATCTGAAAATGTTACAAGTTCTTCCTTGGGGCATTCCCCACCCCTCCACGAAATATAATGGAAATTGGTTAGTCGTTTTGGAGTAAACCTGCTGACAAACAGCAGTGGAAACAGAACCCCCTTGGTGGAGGTAATAATGCAGAAGACATACGGTACAATAGTCATGTGCTTGTTGAATGTCATGCACCACTAGGCTAAAGCTGAAAGATTAGAATTTAATTCAAGTTACTCATGTACTCTTCAGTGTATATCTGTATAAATCTCCACTATATACATACAACTCAGAACATAATGGTGAAAAAGGAGCTTTTATTCCAACACTGTTCTAGTAATGAGCACTTAACAAGCTAAAGGAGGGAGCACACTGGTGTGCCTGGTTATAACTCTGCTATGGCCACAATGACTAATTCCCCAGGATGTGAGGAGTGTGCACCGGCCTGTGAAAAGTAGACAGGTCACCTCTGACAGTTTAAATGCTTTATCTCAGGACTCAACACTATCTGCAAGCGTCACGAGCATCGGGGCGAGGTGACCCTCGTGGCTGAACTTTCTCCCCCACTTCATTAGTATAAGCTGACAATGCTCTATCTCTTCTTTAAACCAGAGTCAGAAGAACTGACCTTAATTAGTAAAAAAAAGACTTGAAATTGAGGCTTGTGTGGTTAAACATCCTTTTGAGGGGAGGTATGAGTGAAGGGCGGTGGTTGGATTTTGGGGAATATTTGCTCACATGGGTTTTCTGGATGCCTGGGAGTAGGGCGATAGGAGGCAGCTGCTCAGATCAGAGGGGTTGGGGTTATTTATAATGAAGAGTCGCCCTGGGAGTCACTGCAAGGACGAGTGGGTTCACACTCATTCTTACACAGAGGGAGACAGGATGATGAGTCCGGCTGGTTTATTTCCTCGGAGCAGGGGCAGACTGTAAGTGCTGTAAGTGTGGCTCGGCCTCTGCGGGAGACGTGCGGTGGGGTGCGCTGCTTCTAAGTCAAGCTCATTGGAGAAGAAAGCCAGAAAGGAAACCACAAGTGGAACAAACAGGATTCAGTGCCCTAAGGAGTTGATGATGCACAGCAAATAACATTGTCAAAATGCTGTCAAAACAGTCTGTGTGCACATTTCTGACGCTCGGCTCCAACCCTCGGTAACTCATATCAGAACACGCTATAAATGAATTTCAACGCTGAGTGCATCGATTTCTTCACACATCAATAAGTTATGAACTATTGATATCTGTGCGTTTGACCTCTTGACGAGAAAACTGAAGCTGTGGTTGTTATTGTTTTTCTCACTGCTCCCTCCCTCTTGAAACCACTCTTTTCATATCTTCATACCATTGAACCGTTTCCTCACCTCAGCTCATCACAAATGTATGTTAAGTAAACTCCCATTCATCAATGCAATGAAAACAGTTCAATTACATTAGTTAAAGGCAGCTGCTTCCAGAGATAAGAAAACACACACTGCTCTTCGTCTTCCTCTCTCCCCCCCGTCCTCTTCTCACTGTGGTCACAGCCTCTTGCTTTTCTAGTTTGACTATTATGTATCTGAAGTGTTACAGCACGTCTGCCTCTTTTATCTGCCGTGGCTGTGTATCCCTTGCATCCATCGTGGCAGCTCAGTGGCCTTACTCCCTGTCTATTCAGACTAATGCTTTTGTAATTGATGGGATCCGCCGCCTGAGCTGTCATAAACATGAAGCTTTGTCATTCAGGTGTGCAAATATCGACATGAGGTGGCGTTTCTGCAGCGCTGCTCCTGAAACATCTGTTTTTTTGTCACTTTTTAATTTTCTTCCTAACTTTTCCACCACCACTCCTCCCCCCCGTCATTCAGGTGATCTTAGGGCTACTACTGCCTCCGTCCATCCTGAGTCTGGAGTTCAAGAACAAGGACGAGATGTCGTACATGCCCCAGGATCAGGAGGCCTACCTGCAGGAGAAGGAGGAGGAGGAGCCTGAGAAACCGGTCAAGGAGAAGGAGGATGAAGACATGGAGTTCACAGTAAGATCTTACTGTGAGACGCAGTACAACTCCGTGGTGAGAGAACCCACCTCAGCCCCGCATCTCAGAATCTATACACATATTCAAACTTTAGATACAACACATACACACACACACGCACACACACACACACTCTTCAGATTATAAAACACATCACTGCCCACATAGCCCAGATTCTGTGTTCTTCATAGTTATCGCCTGTGGACCAGTTTTATTCATTGTTGTTGCTGTCCACAGTGTGACAATGATATGCACACACAGTTTTACACACAAACATATTTGTTTCTTTATTCTGGCCAACTGGACACTTCCAGCCAAACCGGCCTCTTCCTGTTTCTCGTCGTCTCAGCAAAGACATGGTCGTGGAGTTGTAGCGTCTCAAGTCTGTCGCCGCTTGTGGGTTCCCTCGTGTATGTTTCTCCCTTCCATCTATCTCCTTCTCTGCCTTTCTGCCTTTCCTTTCCCCCCCTCTTGTCCTCTGCTCAGCTCTCTCTTCGCTTCTTTTGTTTCTCTCGCTTTCGATCTTTTGTTCTGCAGCCGCCCCCCCCTTCTCTCTCTTTCTGGCTCTCTTTCTCCTGCCCTCTCTCTCTCCTAGCTCAGTTCTGATTGAGGTACAGTACTGTATGCTGGTCGATTGCTGCCCCTCACACTCTCATCAGGGATGGCTTGCTGCAGCACACCACTCAGCATGTCGGCTGCTGAGCATGGGAGGCCCAGGCTTTTGCATTATGTAACCGTGTCCGCCTGCTGCTGCAGAGCTTAAATCATGCAGAGTCTGAGCACCTTCTCCCGGCTCACAGTTTAAGAGTTGTTCCATCTGCATAGACGTGGATGTACAGCAGGGTTAGGACTTGTTCCATTTCAATCCAATCAATCTTGGAGATGATGCTGAGATCCAGTTTATGGGTTTAAATTACGACTGGAATTTCAAGTAGTTTAACGCACAAACTGGATTTAATGTCATCCCAGGGATTGAACTGAAGTTGAACGCCTTTCAGCACCACTGTACATACTCTCCATCTGCATTGAGCACAGCTTCAAGCCAGCGCAAAGACTCACAAAACATTTCACACACACACAGTCCTGAAGGCACTGTGGTGTGAAACTAAGAATCTTGCTTCCAGACGATGCATTTGCAATGAGCCCCTTCCTGTTGCCCTGGCTTCTGACTATGCAAATGCACCCTCAGATACTTATGAATCACATCGAGATTCATACACATACACAGACTGCTACACCACAGAGGGAGATTGTATTGTCATATCCTCAGGTGCTTTAGATAAACCACACTGTGATGAATGTAACAACGTGCGTGATAGCTTGTGTCCACTTGCTGATTGGACGATGTGCATGTTCAGTGCAGTAAATGGCATGGTGTGGCATCTGAATCCGTTCACCCTGAAGGCCCTGTCTGTGTGTACCTTGGACAAAACTTTTACAAATTCGGAAAAAAATAGAAATCCCTTATTATACTGATAGTGATTTCTTAGCTATGGTTTTGTCACTTTTCAGCCGCCTGGGAACTTAAACCAACAGCTCAGAGTGTAGCTCAAATATTTGGACAGATTTAAAAAAAGTTATCTTTGCCCAGGTCAACAGCACAATACAATTCCATGAATGAACTCCCTCAGAGGTCTGGTGTTGCTTTGACATTAAGACCATGACCCATAAAAACAATGGGCTCTGAACCCTATCTCATGGATTAGGAACTGTGTCACAGACTGAAATGAGATATCTATGTCTTATCTTCTTCCTTTCCTTTTCCTGTCTTCTTTCTGTCATTGTCTTTTGTGTCTCCTCTGCATCTTATTTGTTGTCTGAGACACAATCCATGAGTGTCCATTTGTCTGCGTCATACTGGGTTACCAGCCTTCACCCAACACTCCACCTCAAACACACATTTCACATTTTGGAATGATGACATTGCCTGTGCTTGCTTCTTTGATAATGATATTAAAACTGTGTTGTAGACCATAATGCAACGCCTCTACTCTTTCTCCCTTTTTTCTCCTTTTGTCTTTTCTCCATCCCCCCGACTCCCTTCCACACACTTCATCTCCATCCTCTCTCTGCACCCTCCACACACTCCTCCTCCTCCACCTCTCCAATCTGTCACACTTCCCTCTACCCACACTATCCTTCCCATTATCCCTCACACCTTTCACTCTTCCCTCCCTCGCTCCGCGTTTGGTTTGCATTTGCCCAGGCAATGCTGGGTAAGGTTACCACGGAGACATCCAGAAAGAAGGATGTTGAGGAGGTTCAGAACCGCCACCGCCTCATCCCCATGGGACGCAAAATATATGAGTTCTACAACGCGCCGATTGTCAAGTTCTGGTTCCATACGGTCAGTGTCAGCTTCAGCAGCACCACCCACACACACGCTCAGCTTCCTGCTGGCTCTGTCAGGCCCTATTGTATCTACAACAGCATCATTTGCTGGTTTCCCTGTGGTTAGCTGCTGCCTCCGTGGTGCTTCCATCGTCCATTAACCTCCCGTTCCAGCTCCACCGTATCATTGGCCAGCTTTACTCAGGTGGGAGAGTTTTGTGGGGAGAGTGATGGAGGCAGCATGTTGAGAAAAGTCTAAGTGAGGAAACCTCTGAAACATTACATCATTTCTCTGGATTAAATCTTTATCCAAACAAATATTATTTGATTTTAAGTTAAGCGTTTAGAGTGTTTACATGAGTGGGAAAATGTTTTTTTGTTTATTATATTTGTCCCCTTGCGGCACAGTTCATCCACATTCTGTGACTCTGTCTTTGAGGTTTATGTGTAGCTTGTGTCTTTTGGCTATCTGACTGTGTGTGTAGAAGTGGATCTTTTATTTTCTTGTTTGTTTTTTTTCTCGGGCTCTTTCAAAATGCTTACCCAGCAAAAATACCTTTTTTTCATCGGGATTTCACAGTTTATTTATGCGGAGAACATATTTTGAATGTGTTTTGTTTCGTCCCACTTTCTCCTCTGAGGTTCACTCCCTTCTTCGCTCCCACTTCTCCTTTTTGCCCTTCAGGTTGAAAAAAATCTACTGTGAATTTCATTAGAGCACCACTGGAACAGATGCTGGGTTTTCTTAGGGCCAACATTTGGTCTTTACATCACAACCAGATTTGTATTCATGCCCATTACCCTCTTTAGAGCACGGTCCCATTTACAAAGAAATTAGTCAAACCTATCCCACAAACAAATTGTGCACATAGGAGTGTGATTGCTTGATTTATAACTGGAAAAAAGACACTGATGCCACTACTTCAATCTGAAATTTAAAGATGTTTAAGACTTTATCATTTTAATATCATTACAAATGTAAAAGCCAAACAAATTACCGTTTATATACATTTTTCATCTTTTTCTTAACTTACTCTTATGGCTGACAACCATTAAAAATTCAAAAATATCCAACATTTGATTGAAAACATTTGATTGATCAAGTTAAGACCTGTAAATGAGAACTGAGTGCAAAAATGGATTTTATATACATGTGTAAAGCCCTGAGGTCTAATCATAACATGGTTAGACTTGCATTGTGATCACATTTTCATCTTATCTGTATCATTATGATCCGTAGTGCACAAATATAAGAAAATGAAAGTGGACAGCTGACCTGGATTTAAATAGATACAGCCACGGGAGACAAGTAATGTGGAGGCACGGTAATAGGCTGCCCTGACATCAAATCTTTAGCATTAGATCTGAAAAACGGCATTAGAGGAAGGTGTAACGAGGGTCAATCATTCTCTAAGTAAGCGTTTAATTTGTGCAGTTACTCACAAAAACCTTTTCCTCACCCTTTCTCAGCCTTTTGAGCCGATGTGCTTGAACTTGATGTGCAGTTTGCTCATGTTGGAGAAAATGCGTAACCTTAAATGTGTCCCTGCTGATTTCCCTCTGCGGTTGTGTTTTTACGTAGATGGCATATGTGGGCTACCTCATGTTGTTCAACTACATCGTCCTGGTGAAGATGGATCTGTGGCCGTCTCCTCAAGAGTGGATCGTCATCGCTTACATCTTCACTAACGGCATCGAGAAGATGAGAGAGGTACGCTGTATCCTGTAGTGAATACAAAAACCCTATTGAACCCACAATCCGTCCATCCACTGAACTGAAGACATTAGGCTTGTCAGCATTATATCGCTTACAGCTGAATTCTTTGAGATCTGTGATGCAGGCCGAAGGCTAAGCTTTATGTCCATGTCGTCAAACAGCTCATAGTAAACAGGGAATCAGTGATTGACTGAGGTGGAAGCAGAGGAGGAAGTCACATGGAAAGAGAATTGAGGGGAGAGATGGTGGAAATAAAGTTAGGAAACAGAGATGGAAAAAACAAAGAAAGAAAAGGAGTAAATAGAAATGAGTCATCATATGAGCTTGGGTAGTTCAATCTCACATTGTGACTGTTTGTACTGTAAATGTATGAAATGCATTAATCATTGTGTCACATCACTCTCAGCTGCACAGCAATGCGTCCTCACACTTCTGACTAGATTCTCTCATGACTGGACTCATACTGCCCTCCTATGGTGGCCCTGACATATTGCATTTCTTTGTTTCTGTTCTATTTCAATCACTTTCTGGTCTCACTTCAGTTTTTCCCTTTCATTGTTCCTGCTTTTCTTGTTTTGCTTTATCGACTCATTTGCCTCTAAATCTCTTCCAGATTCTGATGTCAGAGCCAGGGAAGTTGTTACAGAAGGTGAAGGTGTGGCTCCAGGAGTACTGGAACATCACAGACCTCATGGCTATCCTCATATTCTCGGTCGGCATGGTTCTGCGTCTCCAGGAGCCGCCGCTCATGAGCTACGGCCGAGTCATCTACTGCGTCAACATCATCTATTGGTACATCAGGCTGCTCGACATCTTTGGAGTCAACAAGTACCTGGGTCCCTACGTGATGATGATTGGCAAAATGGTGAGATGAGTGAGGATGAGTCTCTTGTGTTTTTTGTTCCTACTATGTATTCTTCTTTCCTTCAACTGGATCTTGAGTGATGTGTATTTTTGGGGGGTCGTTGTCGAGAGCGATATTAAGGATTCAAAAATTCCCAATACTGAAATATCGCCAATGTAACAGTTTAACATTTAAACTCTATTCTAAATAACTATAAATAAAAAGAAAAAACTAGAACAACCAAATATATACAAGAATTATTAAAAATTTAAATATAAATGTACTTATTTTCTGCATTGTTTATTCTGTAACAAAAAGTTCTCATGTCGGCACATATCAGCAAACGAACGCTGATACCGATGTGTCTGTGAAAGACACATATCTGCCAACTGATTAATCGGTCGGGCTCTAGTTTTTACCTTCTGCTTAAACTCAACATGGGTTATAATGATTATGAGTTAACTGAGTTCTATGATCACACAGGTTTAATTTGTATATGGCGTGCAGGCTCCATCCGAACGAACGTCCATGCCCCTAAACCTCATTGTTTGATCACAAGATCAGAGCCTGTGATTCACACATGATGACAGAAGCAGAGAAAGGATCAAAAGCCCACATCTGTATCAGTCGGATGTTTGACTGAGTGGGCTGTTAAAATCTGTCCCAATTAGTTTGTAAGAGAGAGATTGATTTGAATTTGTATTCAATGACTGTATTCAGGTGTTGACATATATAATGTTGCAGCGCTACAAGCTGATTTCAAGTCAAAGGAGTTCGAAGAGGAATAGAGAAAAACAAATAAATGCAGCTGAAGTACCACATTATTCACAAACTGCATACTTACACAAAGGATGTCTTTGCAGAAACTGCAGCATTATAAAAGCCTCTTTCTGTCAAATTGGTCTGCATCTTGTAATTCAAACAAGTAATATTAGTCAAAGTAACATCTGAAATAAATAAATAAAAGACTCTGTGTTAAATGTGTTTCAGCTTTCCAGAAGAAGAATAAATGACAACTCTAATCAAAAATGACACGGTGTAACAGTAGCTTGTGGAATATAAAGGGGGGCGGCCGTGGCTCAGCGGTAGAGCAGGTCATCCAATAACCAGAAGGTTGGCAGTTCAATCCCCGCTCCTGCTCACCACAACTGAGGTGCCCCTGAGCAAGGCATCACCCCACCCCCCCGACCCCCCGCCCCCCGGGCACCGGCAACAGCAGCCCACCACCCCAGTGTTAAACATGACAATGAAAGTATATCTAAAGTAGCCCAGAGGACGCTGGGCTTCCTCACTCACCTCTGTGACTTTCATGTTCAATTTGGGATCAACCTAAATTAAGTGCATTTTAGATATTAACTTCAGTTTAATTCCAGAACAAATCAAATTAAGGTTTGATTGACCAACCAAGACTCAGCGGATAATAATAATTATTAGAAGGATAATAATCAAAATATGATTCCGACTCTTTAAACTTTTATAGCTGTTTCTCCAGCTGAAACAGCACGTTCCTATTCTGTTCTTTTGGCTCATTACTGCTTTGTTATTTTATCATTGTTCCCCTCAATAACCATTCTGACCAACTGCTGCTGCTTTTTTCTTTTCCCAAACCACTCACCCCCTCCCCTCTCTCTCTGACAACCCTCTCCCTGTCAGATGATCGACATGATGTATTTTGTGATCATCATGTTGGTGGTGCTGATGAGTTTTGGGGTGGCGCGTCAGGCCATTCTCCACCCGAACGAGGACCCGTCCTGGATGTTGGCTCGGAACATCTTCTTCATGCCTTACTGGATGATCTACGGAGAGGTGTTCGCAGACCAGATCGACCGTAAGTTCGGGGCCAGAGTGTCAGAACTGAATCAACTTCATTTTTGTTTGAGGGCCCGGTCACACTTATGCAAGTGTTTCAGTGGGGAACTTTTGCCTTCTGTTCACTTTCAATCTTCAAAACATTTGCTTCCCTTGGCGAGACAGGAGAGAGTTCAGATTTGTTGAACTTTGACCAGTGAAATTTGCTTCACTTTCCCTTATGTGTGATTGGGCCCTAATTCTGGGGGGGGTAGGTCCTGAGTATAACTGAATACACACAACTCAATGCAGAGATACTAGAGTAGTTTCCAGTCATTCCTCCACAGGTTGAAGTATTAGATTGCTTGTACTTAAATACTTACATATTAAAAATACTTTCCTTCAAAACAAATTACATTAATGTCTACTGTCATTTTGTCATGACCTTTTTTGTCTCTATTATTTAATAACATAGACTTCTTGACTTAAAATCCAAACTAGCTTGTGAGCAGTGTCTGAAAACAATGTCCAGAGAGTGCGAGTGTATTTGTGTGCTGTTGTGTTGTCTCTATGTATGGTAGTATATATCTGATGGTGTGTACAGGATGTGAGGAGTGGCCCAAAGAGAAGAGATCTGAAATAATGTTTTTATTCTTTGTTTCAGATATGCATAGTAGGAAGTTACAGCACAGGCTGAATGAAAAACTCTGGCTGGGCGAAAATTACTTTCGAACTCACGGAACCTGGCGTATTAATGGTCCATCCCACATTGGCCAGTGCAGTCAAAATCCCAGTAAATTTATAGCTATAGGCCTCAGTTTAACCGCATCCACCTCCCCCACCTCACCCCTTCATCATCCTCACATTACCACCGTGTCATGCCCACTCCTACCACTAGGGCCCACTTGAGACAAACGTGTGCATGCAGCGCCACATGCTCGAAGGTCAAAGTTGCCGTCACGTGTTGGTATCTTGGGTCAGCTACTTTATACTCTGTAAAAGAATAAGAAAACAGTTAAAGAGAATCTGAAGTGGAAAAGTTTGATTCTATGGGACGACATGTCTTCTCCATGTTAACAAGTAGCTTGACCTAAGACTATATCCTGTAAGCAACTCTACCCTGACTAATTTTGGCTGGCAAATGGCACTGTTGCATGGCAGTAGCACTTTTCAAATGGTGTCTAATGTACAGTATTTACCCTCTTTAGTTTCTTGCATTTATGTTCAAGCTAAAAGAGGAACTATCAAAGTTTTTAAATTTGATATTCCCTTGATGTATCTTCCTCCCATTTTTTTCTTCTTGACTTCCAAACAAATTCAATTTGAAAAAGTGATCCTGCCATGTTAACACCATGTAAACCAAATAAACCATGTCACCCCCCCTCAACGCCCGCTCAGCTTCTCATCGGAGCAAATGCAACATTGCCAAAATCCTTCTACCAGTGTAGTCAACATTAAACATAAGTAAGCATTCAGATTTCAACATGAGTATCACATTATACAGGAAAAAACATACAAACACCCACAGCAGAAGATGTTTATCAGCCACCCTTCATCATCTATAATCTGTTTTTTCACGTGGTTCAGTTGTCAGAGTTTTTAAATCTAAATTTTTTGAAGGTAAAACTCCCAAAAAAAATTACTTCAGTTCTCTGTCTTTGGGCTGCATTGTGTGAAACAATTGACTGTCGAGCAATGACGAGCATGACTAGAATGAATCTCAAAGGCAAACAAACCAAGACCTTATGCTGAATGTTCCCCAGTTAAGTCACAGCAACTGAACCATCACAGATGGAAAAACATGTGATGTATCCGAAATACATTTCCAATGATTCAAAGCAATCAACCATTGCTAAATGAAGCTAACGCACACATATGTGACAATATATTTTAAACATCGACTGCATGTTTAAAAATATTGTAAACACAGATAGTGATGAGACATGATGAATGTGTTTTTTTGAGTATTTTGTTTTCAGATTTCACATTTCTGAACATGAGCCCCCTACCATTATTGTGTCCACTCTTCCCTCTTTGACAGAAGAAGCATAAAAAACACATTATGCTTCTTGTTTGTTTGCAAAAAAATGCAGTCATGCACTTTGTTTGGTTCTTTCAGAGCTGCTTGTCTCTTTGTTATTGTTATAACTCAACATACAGTTCATCTTTGAATGTTTTATATTTCTTTGACATTTTCTCAAACTTTATTCCCCTATAGATTTTATTTTCCTTTACTTTAAACTGTCCTCTCCTCATGTAACATGCCTGCATGTCTTTCTAATTTGTTGTGCATCTAAATGTTTCGTCTAACATATAATTTTGATGGATTCAAGTTTCTTTCTGAAGTCATACCTCCCTTGTATTAACTTGTACATGTGTATTTCTTTGGTGACGGTGTGCAGCTCCCTGTGGGCAGAACATCACAACAGAGGACGGGGGGGTGGTGGCCCTGCCTCCCTGTAAGACGGGTGCCTGGATCGTCCCGGCCATCATGGCGTGCTACCTGTTGGTCGCCAACATACTCCTGGTCAACCTTCTCATAGCTGTGTTCAAGTACGTAAAGGGAGCTTAAACATAGCATGGCAAGATATTATTAAATAACAGAATAGAAAGACTTGGATGTTGCTTTTTTAAGTGTGTGTAAGAGAGAAATAAAAGAGGAAACTAGTAGTTTGAGATGCTGTTAAGGCACAGTCATTAGAGGCGGGTTGCAGATTTTATCAGAATGGGATAGAGCTTCTTCCACGGAGACATTACCATGCTAATGATCTGATATTGTGCATCTGAATAATCCACAAAGCAAGAACCCTGATCAATTCTCTCACATTCGTCAGTGTAACAAAAAGTGCACAATGGAAGAAAAACAATCCTTAAATAAAGGTTTAATCACATTACAACAAACATTTACTGTGTTGCATTAAACTTGGCTTTGCAGTGCAGGAGCATGCGATACTCCACCAGCCAATCAAAGGTGTACATGTATATCTAAAAAGGTTGTGATGTATGGTTTTTCCTCCAGTACGTTAATCGTCAGTTGCTTTGACACATCTGTCTGTGATTGTCCGTCACCATAGTAACACATTCTTCGAGGTGAAGTCCATCTCCAACCAGGTCTGGAAGTTCCAGCGCTACCAGCTCATTATGACCTTCCACGAGCGGCCAGTCCTCCCTCCACCACTCATCATCTTCAGTCACATAACCATGGTCCTCAAGCACCTGTGCTGTCGCTGGCGCAAGCACGACGACGACGAGAGGGACTATGGATTGAGTGAGTGAGAGAAAAACGAAAAACACGCCTGTTTAAACTCAGGATGTTGTAATAGATTCACATCTCTGTTACCTTTTTTTTAAATCATGTTCTGTTTTTAGCACTATAGCAGGAGTTTTTATACCTTGAAATATGAAGCATATGTTTTGTGTTGGACTTTTGTTATCATAATACCACTCGATAAATGTGACACTGCAGCTTTATAACTGTGGAACTCTTTCATCCACAGAGCTTTTCATCACAGAGGACGAGCTGAAGAAGGTCCATGACTTTGAGGAGCAGTGTATAGAGGAGTACTTCAGGGAGAAAGATGACAGATTCCACTCTTCAAATGATGAGAGGATCAGAGTCACCTCTGAAAGGTCAGCCTGTGTGTTAGTTTTATGTATATATATAAGTCTGCCAAGAGCAGAAATGGTTTGTTTTACGGTGCACATCTCAAACTGACAAAAATACAGTAAACAAGCAAATATGCAAAGATTTTTTGGAAGCTTAAACCAGTTTAGTCCAGTTTTAACACTAAGATAGCATGACTTATGGTTTAGCAATTTTTGTACGTAATCATGTTTTACTTACTTTTCTTTGTTTAGTTGACTGAAATTGTGTTTTTTTATTCTTAAGTCAAGCTGCAGTGTGGAAGACTCTTACTGCCATATTTTTCTCCACCACTCTCCCACGCTTTTCTCCCCTCTCCGTTGCTTTTAATGTGTCCTTTCTCCTTTTCATCTCTACTCTATCAGGGTGGAAAACATGGCCATGCGTCTGGAGGAAGTCAATGAGAGGGAACACTTCATGAAGGCGTCTCTGCAGACTGTTGATATTCGTCTGGCACAAATGGAGGAGCTGATCGGCCGAATTGCCGTAGCTCTGGAGCGCGTGACAGGTGTCGAACGGGGTGAGGTCAACAAAGTGCGTTCCAGGACTTCATCTGACTGCACAGACTCTGCATACATTCTCCGCCATGGTGAGTGCCATGATGCAACATACATCCTTCGCCAAAGCAGCTTTAACAGCACAGAGGGGAATGCCTACCGTATGCAGGAGGCACTGGAGGGAACAGCTGAGGGCTCCATGTCCCCTCCGTCTCCTACTGGCATGGCCACACGGACAAGAAGCCACTCGTTTTATGTTCGTGGAGGTGAACGAGCAAGTGGAGCTGAAAGAGCCGAGAGCTTCTTCAAAGAGCGCTCGCTCAGTCTCCACAGAGCCAACAGCTCGCAATCTGTGTCCTCAGTTGCTGCCCCCAAGGAGTCTAAGCCCCTCCCCTTGGCGACGCTATCGGTATCCCAGCAACACCGTCCATCATCATGCATTGATATCTATGTCTCAACTTCTGAGGAGGTGGGGCCTGCGGAGGTCTTCTTGGATCCTCTCCGTGTGGTCCCGCCACTCCAGAGAGACTTGTCGCTGCAGTCAGATATTATGGAGACGGTGTTGCCGGGAGGCCGGGACTTCAGCAGCGCTGCCACCAGCGGTCTGGGCGACAGGCACTCGGAGGGCAGGGCGGGCAGCAGCGCAACAGGTGGAGCTATGTATGACGACAGTGCAGCTGCTGATTTGTCCTTGTGCTCGGCCCACCTCTTACCAGACACAACCTTACCTCCGTGGGACATGGAACCATCCCCACCTCCCTCAGCAGGGCTGCTTGAACGCTCTAAGAGCAGTCGCTACCTCTGTACGACAGGCGCATCGTTCCTCGATGAGCCTCCTCTGGTCAAATCCCACAGCCTCATGTTCACACCGAGAGGCTGCTACAGCGGACTGGGGGCAGGCGTCCAGGTAAAAGCTGCAGAGTACACCAGCATCACTGACTGCATCGATACACGCTGTGTCTCAGCTCCATACACTCCAGCAGAACGCTCCCACTCCCCTGGAGGCTCCACCTCATTCCCCTTTGATAAGCCTTCAGACATTGGCTCCTCTCACCCGGAGAGAGAGGCAGAGCTTAGTCACACTGAGTCTGATCCAGAGGACCCTGAGGACCTGATTCCAGCCCCTGATACCCCTCGCCTAGGGGGCCTTGGCGGGCCCAGTGGGGCCCCTCTCTGCTCCCCCTTCTCCAGGCTTGAGCGGGCAAACAGCTGCTCCTCAGATGACTCCCATCCTTCCCTCACGCTGGCCCCTCCGCACCGGAAGAGCCTGTCAGTGAGTGAGAGGATGGAGAGGGGATCGGGTCTGGGGGCAGACAGGGGGCCTGGGCCGGGGGGCCGGGGTCTGGCAGGAACCAGAAACCCCTTCCTCAGGAGCAAGTCTGGAGCACGGCCTGAGACAGCCAAAACTGACAGCCTCTCCATGAGGAAACTGGCCACTCCGTCAGCTTTCCGCAGCTTTGATAGACAAAACTACACGTGACAAGGACACTGGTCAGCTCATTCACATACTGATAGGAGCAGGGAGGAAAAGGGCCCGGGGCAAAAGTGAAAGCATGGGGGAGTTGCCCGTTGCTCCTAATCTGGACAAGATCTACAGTTTTTACACTTATGTTTTAGTCTAGAGAAGGTTATAAAAGTTTCTTCATAGTACGTGCTGGGGGGGGCAACTTTACCCTGGATCATGAAACAGGAAGAAGGGATGTTAGATGCAGAGGTCCTACTGTACACCAGTCAAATACAAAGAGCTATGAATCTAGACTAGTTTTTACCTCTTCTTGTAGCTGAGTATCTCTCAATGGGGTGTTATGGCAATGGAAGGTGTCTTTGTACTGTGTGTCTTCCACCCACCACCTTTACGTCGAGTAGACAGCTGTCACTGTTACATTACATATCAATCACATTAGTCAGAGAAAGTGTTCCTCCCAGCTGTTTCGTATGGTAGAACCTGCCATGTCTGACGGACGGACACAGAGAGAGGAGGAGGAACCATATAACCACCACCTCATTTTGTCAGTTTGTCTTAGCATAGAGTCATTGCTGTCACTAAACTGAACGTTCACATCAAGTACATTTCCCTCTCTTTATCCTAACTCCACACTGTACGACCCCAGCACAAGCAAAGCAAAGCTGACATTTCTCTGGCTGGTCCATAACGGAATCAGCAAAGTGTTTGGAAACCCTCGTGTTTCGAAGACAATGGCAGTAACATGGCAACAACTTACCTCTGGATACACAAACACACCTTTCAAATAATCAATATTTATATCAAACGTGTTTTTCGTTCACGTATTGTAGCAAAATGTATCTACAGGACTGTATTTATTTCTTCTGTCGGATCAGCCAGAAAAAGAAAGCCGTGTTGTAACTCATGCCAGACAGCTGCAGGTCTCCAGTCCATCTGTTCCTGCAGTGACTGGACGAGTTCAATCTGTTTGATTAGCCACGCGATACAACTGAGAGGGAAAAAGTGAGAGAGAAAATGTGACACGAAGTCTGAAATCAGCAGGAGACAATATCCAGTGTTTTACCGCTCAGGCTTTCACCACGGACTCCAGGCATGAGTCTGTATATCAGGAAAGTGAGTCAGTGCTTCGAAGGCCAACGCATGAGAAAGGGAATGAGATCAGACAAGTTCTTTGGAAGTGCGTGTTGACATTCTCATACACATGACTGCACACAGACATGATCAGTAAAATCTTACTCACTGTTGGTAATAAACTCAACTTCATACCTGAGCCCAGAGATTTAACAAGTGCAATTGCAAAAAACGGGGGCAAGAGGGCGCTGTGAGCCTATTTGAGAGGCAATGCTTGCTGGGTGAACCTGGGGCAAGTTTGGTGGTGTGTTGAGCACCCTGTTGTGTTAATACACACGTCACTGCTGACTCACGTTTGGATTTTCTGAGTATCATGTTGCACAATAATAATTACATTTAATCTTGAATCTGTATTGGGCTACACCTCTAACACACCCACCAAACAAAAGAACACTCAACCACCTTAACAGGTTTCAAGGAAACACATTGTTCAACCAGGAAAATTGTAGCCAAACGTCCCGTGATTGAACATGCCCCCTAGTGTGAACTTATCTCCGCCTGCACCTGACTCCAAAAAATTCCTTCCACTTCACCAATTGTAGCTCTCTTGTAGCCCAGACCTCCACCCCCTCCTTCAGGTTTTGGCAGTGGAAACGTTTTCAGGAGGATTGACTCTCATTCTAAATCATGATTTATATTATATTTTGCAACAGGCATGTTTCTTGCAGTTTATTTGGTTTACCTCTGCTCCTCGGCCCGAGTCTGTAAAACACAGTCAACGTATGTGTCAGGTTGTTGTATTCACATAAAACAGTGCACAGGCATTATGTTGCAATGGTTTTTACATCCACCAACAGCTAATGGATCCGTCCTTCATCTCTTCCATAACTGTCTTTCATTTGCTTTTCTCTTGTATTTATTTATTATTTATTATCTTTATTGCGTTCAGCTTCTGCAAAAGCAGACTTTGAAAAGAAAGCACTTGCCCCCATGAGTCAGCCCATTATAAACCATCAACTGGTACAGAAGAGGTCCTGAGGAGGAGGAGCTCATTTATGAATACAAAAAGAAACACGCTTGGGAATAAACTTTCAAGTATATGCATTCTAGCTGAGATTAAAGAAGGGTGTGTATTCACGCAGGAAGAAAAGTGGGACTATTATTGAAAAGATGAAAGCCAGATAAGTGTTTTAAAATTTTCTAATTTTTTTTTTTATTCTAGTAGCGGAAGAAGTGTGGTGTTGGTGGTGGGGGAGAAGATGTCCTTCTTTAATCGCTCTATAAAGATAAAATATAGGTGAAATTATTAGAATTCCTACTGATTTTTTTAATGTTTGTTTTATATTTCCTCGCTATTATAATTCATTTCAATCATGTTGCATTAATTTTGAGATTGATTCTATTTATTGACACTTTCTTGCTCATTGATAATTAAAAGAAATGCCTGTTTGAATTATTACAAATTTAATATTTATATCTTCTCAGTGATATTTTTGTCGAATTTTAAGTATTTTCTAATTAAGCTTTTAAATTTAATAAAAGTTGACCATCTACATGCACTAAATGCTGATGTATTATATTATTTATTAAATATAGAATTGTCTGATATACTGTACATTTCAATCATATTTAAAGTATTTAAAGTAGTTTTTATTGTACGTTTTATCAAGCAACTTGTGAGAATTTTCTAATATGACGTTGACGAGGCAATAAAGATTTGCCAGTATAACAAACTTCGGGTGCCTTTTGGGCATCGAAGGAAAATGTGGGGACTGAAGTGATTCTTAAGTCTGTTCAATTTCTCACCTTTGTTTTCTTTTTCTCTCTCTAGTCACAGAACCTGAATATCAGTGATTATTCTCAACATGTGGCTTCTACACACTCTCATAGACATTTGTTGATCTCTTCAAACACGCCTGAGCTCCAGAGTAGGGGGACTGACTGCATCAGGGCTGGTGTGGACATTTTTTGGAACTGTCCAAACATGACAAAGACAGGATTGAGAATAATGGGTTTTATAGCTGAAGAGGAAAAAAAATCTATTTGCACATGAAAGTGAGGACGAGGGTATAGCATCATCGTGAGGTCGGTGCTGTTGCAGTAAATCAGTTTTCTTGCTTGAGTTGAATGCTTTGACTTATCTCTGTGTCACATCCCAGTCTGCTGCATGATACAAACTCTTCACATGTTCACTAAACCTGACCTGAAAACCTTAAATCACTGGTAACCTAACTGGCACATAGTGTTTGAATCTGCTAGATCGGGATTTTAATTTGAATCTGACACACTAAATATTGTAAATATTGGATGTTCACACATCCATGAATTATTCTCAGAGAAATCAAGCAAATTGTTGAAATGTTAAAGACAGTGTAAGAGCATTCCTGGATCCACATCGAAGTGTTGTGGGTTTTTCATTGGGTCTTATCTCACCCCTCCACAAAAACCTCACCTCCTTTCTAAAAGGAATCATCAAAGTAAAAGCAGCAGAGGCTGAGATGCTCAAACATTTAGTCCAAGTATGGAAGAAGCTTGAAAAATGGGATGGACTCCATAATTCCTTCAATGGATCTTTGTGGCATCTTTTGATAAGAATCTCCCTGGATGTTAAATGTGCTCATCTCTAATCCCTGGTCCACAGTTTACACAAATAATATAATAAGTGTAAATAAACGTCAGGGTTTCTCAGACTTCAGAAAACTGTTCGAAGGCTGAGTGGTACCATGACCTAAAACTGACCTTTATTTGTTAAATCAGCGGAATGCACCTTTAACCCAGTTATTAAAACACCAATATAAGTGGCATTGTGGACACATGGGCAGTATGTGTCATGTAGGTTGGACAGATCGGGGGTGACACATGATGAAGGATCACAACTGCAGTTTCCTCGACAAATATACCGTTTGTTTTAGAGAAGAAAGGTTGACACCAAGTCAATGCTCAGGGATTCATTACTCCAGTGATGCAAGGCCGAAAGAAAGAAAAGACAGAAGAGTGACTTCAGCTTCCAGTATAAACACTGTGCTTTATGAGTCCAACCCAGAGTCTTTAAGAATCGTAGATAATGTGATCATTTTGTATTTGTCGTCTTCAGCAATAGTTTCTGAATGAATGTCGTCATGACTTGTTCACCATTTGAAGTCTAACGTCACTATAGTGTGAATAATAAGGGGGGATTTTATTTGTCGGTTCTTGGAGGATTGTGTTTTGATAACGAGGGCTTTGGTCACACACAGTTGACCCTCACAAACCAAAATTTGCCAAACCAAATGGAGCTGAGCTGAGTCGTGCTCTGCTGACCTGTCGTGTGCTCAGCTGTGGCGAACAGGTTTAACCGAGCAGAAGTCGGACAGCTCAGCTCGGCTTCGCGTGACCAAGTATGAAAACAGACGACTGTGTTGGACTGAAAGCTCCCTCCCTCCTATTCAACCTGTCGGGATAGGAAATCAAAATGTCCTTTTCTTTATCCTTACAGTAAGGATTACAAGATACCGTAGATGCCCATGTGTACGCGATTCTTTAACGGTTCTGTGACATGTTGACATGGAATCCGTGGATGGTGTCGACGAGAGGCGTGTGCATGTGTGCGTTACGTGTGAGTGTGCACAGACTGTGTGAATTCAGAAATGTTTGATGACAATAAAAACAGGGAGGCATGTCAACACAACACAACCCAAACAGAATCTCAATGTACAGTATATTTCAAACTGTTTCCTCTGCTGTATCTTACAGTATTGTGGAATGGTGACCATATACGATGATAATCAACAGACCCGCTTGCCTCCTGTATGACGACCTCTGACTCATTAGATAAAGAGTTTCACACACACAGTTTCCTGCAATAATTGCTGATGTTGTACTTCGACAACACAAGAAGGACTTACAGCCCCACTGGTCACACTTTTATGTAATGTCCTTTAAATGCATGCGGTTCTTCCACCCAGAGTGTACACAGACGACCTGTAAAGATGATGATGAGAGAGAGATTATAACATGAAATCAAAGTAGTGAGTATTTGGATGAAAATACAAATCTGTATTCCTCAATGTGAATAGGATCATGTCTGGCATGCATTGTTAAATAAACAATTAAATACTGTAGATTGGTACTTCCTGTCTCGCCTGTTTTTACTTCATCTGGTTCTTTAACCTTTCAGAAAGACTTGTGATTTATGTGAGAAATGTGTGGTAAACTCTATCACAACGACAAGAAGAGCAGCATCAGAGATCCAGTCTCATCCTGAACAATTATTAGATCCATGATTTAAAAAAAACAAAAAAAACCTGCAGGGCTAAAAACATCAGGAACATCTGCATTTCTCCTGTTCCCTTCACGGTGTTGAGCTACAAACTGGGACCGCGAGCCGTTAACCTCGTTGTTGCAGAGCTCATAAAACAACAAAGCCTCACGGTGTGTAAACCATCAGCTACTGACACTGCTTTCTAATGCCCCCCACTGGCTCCCACCAGCTGCTGGTGAGATGAGTGCTACTGGTGCAGGTGATGTGTTTTACATGCAAGAACAAGGGATACGTTTTCAGGAGGATTGACACTCATTCTAAATCATGATTTATATTAATGTGACATTTTGCAACAGGCATGTTTCTTGCAGTTTATTTGGTTTACCTCTGCTCCTCGGCCCGAGTCTGTAAAACACAGTCAACGTATGTGTCAGGTTGTTGTATTCACATAAAACAGTGCACAGGATGAAAGTCGCCACTTCTGAAAATATGTGGGTGCTGCTTTGCAAAAACTTTGCTTCATCCTGCTTTGTGTACACAAAAACATGAACACCTCTACCTGTATTACAATAGTCAGAGCTGTGTTATTGTCTAAAGCAACATTCCTTTTGAGTTTACACTGCCCTATTAGGTGTTGACTCATGTTTGGAACATCATACCTTCCATATTTAAGACTGTAATCTTCAGTATGACCAAAAGCAACACACGTCTCTGCCACAAATTATACACCTCACATTTTCAGTGTTTTATTTTCACAGTGGTGGAAGAAGCACTTGAATTAAATTAAATATTAGTTAAACAAAAGACTCATTGTTAGGATGTAACATGTACATTTAATCAGTGTGTTTTCATTATCTTTACTTTACTTAATTACATTCATTAATTTTGGATACTTTTCACTTTTACTCCACTACATATATCAGCAAAAATCTGTACTACATTTTAACAATGGATTGTTTTCCATGTTTAGAATCTTTTTTAAATATTTTAGAAGTAATCACTTATTAGAAGAGATTTGGTCCATTGATCCAATCAGACCATCCTTTTTTAAGATGACAGTCTGTATCATTCTTCTATTAAACAGAATATATGTAGTTGACCATTGCATAAGGGAATATAAGCTTACACTCAAGTATTCTTCAATTACTTTTACTTTATACTTTGTACATTTATAAGTAAATACTTATTTTAACTCCAGTAGAAATATTTATGTTTAATAATATTTTATGTTTTTACTTTTACACAAGGAAAATGTTTGAGAACTATGGGCTACCTCTACCAATGAGTAAACGTTTTTTGTTTCGAGTAAAAGTTGTGCAGTAAAAATTCTATTTGGGTCAAATTAAATTTAAAAAAGGTAAAAGTACTGCAAATACAGGTGTAATATGAAAAGAGTGTGAAGAGTAACATGTAGATTATTTCTGCCTGAAATGTGGAGTTGTAAAAGGATAAAGTAGAATATTACAGCAAGAAACCCATAGTAAAAGTGCTTGTTGAGTAGTTTTCACCACTGCATGGTCGTTTCCTATGATTATGATTCAGCCATTATTCCTTTTCCTGTTTGGTGACTCTGCCTCAGCTGCAGTGTTGTTGTAGCCTACAGGCTCCACACCTCCCTGTAGTGTGTCTGTTGTGTCTGTAGTGTGTCTGTTGTGTCTCCACTGTGCAGCCCTGGCTCCTGCTCCTCTGACTGGACCGGGACTTCCAGTGTGTCCCGCGCTCTGTTGGGGGGGGCTGTTCCCAGAGCGCGCGTGTACGCTGCGGTAAAACGCGCACGTGGAAGGGAACGTTCTGTACCGAGATTACGCGCGTGCCCTCCTCCTCTGTTACAGCACGCGCAACTCAAAACAACTTCAGAATTTGTAGTTACACAACCACCGTGTCGTGTCGACCGGTGTCAACACAATAACATGACCCAGATGCGCCGCGCACTCCGGCTGAACTCTGCCACCTCCGTGAGAAGGAGGAGGAGAAGGAGGGAGCTCCTCTCCTTCCTCAGAAATGTTTACCGCCGTGCTGAACTGAAGGAGGAGTCGAGGAACGAGGCCACAGGCGAAATCCTGCAGCTACATCCGGATTGTGTTCCTAGAAACCCAGGGCTTCTGCCACCACAGGAGAGGCGGAGCTCCAG